ACTAGCCAGTCATTACATAGAACTATTTTATTTTTTCTGACCGACAGTTCTTTTTTTTTTTTGTTTGGTCCTTTTCTTTTCATCGAAGAGACTGAGTAATTTTCTTTTGCGTAAAGTCTAGACAATTTTAAACACGAAAAGATTTCAAATCTGCGTGGGAAGTGACATTGTCGGTATGTATGTTTCTTGTGTAATCAACACAGCAAGATTTACAAGTTGCTTCCTTGGTGCCATTTATGCACCACGTGCACTATGCATCACTTTCAAGTCGTGATGTTCACAGAAATATTCTTCATACACCTCTCACCAATATGGCGCAATGCAGTCATGCAGTGTAAACAACAGTGTAACGTATGCATTGCTTCATTTCTTTTTGGAAATAATTTACCTCATTTGGGATACAATTTATGTGATGAAGGAAATGATTCATCTTAGTTACGAATTCACACAAACTTGCAACATGGAGCACTGGAGGAAACACTGACATGAGATACTTAGTATATGTACTGGAGAAAACAACATCATTCCATTACAGAACAGAGGGAATTTTGTAGACATGCACACATACATACAGGTAACATCTAGAGCATATATTTTGAAAGAGAAAAAAACAAACCTAAAATGTATAAGTTCATATACTAATTAAACAATGTACTTTATTCATGATCAAAGGCTCGGGTTTTAAATTTACGGAACTAAAGACACGATAAATATTAAAGATGTTAATATCTTTGAGGTGCGCAAACAACCTCGCATTGGTAGCACCCCAACTCCCGGTAGCCAGCTTCAGTCGTTAAAAGCAAAGTCTATGAAAACACACACATGCACAGTCTGGCGCGAACAATGACCTCTAGAAGCAGAAGCTGTAATTTTTTTAAACTTTCGTTTCAGTCTTTTTTTCATTTTGCAAAATAGCCTGATTTAAAGTCTCAAACACATACAGGATATAAGCAAATAACAAATAAATAGACCACATTCGAGTTGATGGCATTATCTTATACCACAGGGCAGGTGATATTCAGTGACTGTCAGCTTTATCAACGCTTATGTCGAACGTGACATTTTGCACGTGCTATCCCTTGTAATCACGCGAGAGGAATCGTGGCAGACATCTTGTTTATCTTGACCTCTGACTTGTCGTCTGCTCACAGGCTGGAATTGAAAATATTCCTACGCGCCGGCTGAATTCTTTCCGCCATATGTATAAATCTGTTCGAAATGTGAAAAATAAACGTCGCTTTGATTTAAAAGGAAAAATAGCAGGGTTTACGCTTCTGGTGTATATTTACTTTTCCAGATGCATTTATTTTGGCCTTGCTTTTTTTCTATTTGTTTATTTCGTTTGAAATGCACCTAGACGTTGCTAGCTCTTGGTAGTATGTGACTGTGTCGAGTCTTGGGGGAAGCAATACTTTGTCTCTTTTTTTCAACTTTTGTGTGAGAAGGGTATGTGAGAATTGTTCTCTAAACGCCCGTTTTGATTTCAATCAAATCTCTATGACTGTATGACATTTGTAATAAATGGTGTCTGAGAATTGATATTAATAAAATTCGTCACCCAGTATCGATCACTGATCTCTACGGCTTCCACGTCTGATAGTCCAGCAACCCATTCACCTGACACTACTCTATTTTACTCCCTAAAAACAAACGATCAAGTCTTAGTCATGCTAGAGTTATCTCCCATTTGATTTCAATATTTTACTCACGTTTTCACTGATTTGTTAGCCTCTTTTATTTTTAGCCTGTGTTTGTTCTTTAACGTGTTTATGCTATTTTAATGACCCCAATGACACTTCAGTTCTTTTCGAAACAAATCAGGACTAAATATTAGCTTCAATACCATGTACTGCAAAAGAAAATATTAACTCTAATTCGAAGAGTTCATTTTCATCTGTTTTCACGAGAGTTTTAATGTTATTTGATAAACCTTTTAGGACAAAGGAGGGCTGCGCACCCCTACACACACACCCAGGATCCGCCTATGCACTATAAAACCAGCTTAAGTCTGGGCTAGTACAAGCAGCCGCACGTACACACGCATGCACGTCGTCATATGAGCGAAATATTCTTAAACACGACATTAAACCCCATTCCACCTCACCTCACCTCACCTCCCACCTCACCTCACCTCACCTTGTATAGACTGTAGTAGCATATCAGTACCTTTTACTTGGAAAGAAATCTTGCCACAATATAGAAAATGCTCGAAATGTATTTCAATGTAAGCTCTTGTAGCAAAGATTTTTGTACCTGAAACTTTCTGTATTTAAGATGAAAATATATGATGTTGTCACGCGCACATATTGCAAAGCGAGAAAATCGTGTTGAATGTAAATCTAGAATGCGAACAAATGATGCCTTTCCGGAACAAGTTTGAATATCACATAGCTGGCGAATATTGTTTAGATTTAAAGTCAACCAAACCTATTTCAGCGAATCGAATCACAAAGATATCTATATTTACCCAGTATGAAAATGGAATGTCGACTGCAGATAGATTCATCAAAATACTTCATGAATCAAAGTAGAATAAGTAAGGGTGTATTGCTACGATCGTTTGTAATGAACCTGGTTCTCTGAACCCAAAGACACACGAGTGTCTATACGATGTTTTGATAATATTGTTATTTCGTAATTTGTGCATGAAGCCTCTTCTGTTTGATATCACCATCTCTCTTTACAGTCACCGTGAAGATCCGGGTTAGAATTGATCTTCAGCAACCCATGCTTGTCGTAAGAGGCGACTAACGGGATCGGGGGGTCAGGCTCGCTGACTTGATCACAAGGGCGGATACTGCATTTTGAGAAGGGGGGCTGCACACTCTTGAGAAGGTGTGTGTGTGTGGTGTGTGTGTGTGTGTGTGTGTGTGTGTGTGTGTGTGTGCGCGCGCGCGCCCAACCCCACCCCCTCTGGATCCGCCCATAGGTTGACACATGTCACCGTTTCCAAATTGCGTAGATCGGTGTTCATGGTGTTGATCACTGGAGTGTCTGGTCCAGACTCGATTATTACGCCATTTAGCTGGAATATTACTGAGCGCAGCGTTAAACAATTATCAACCAACCTTTTTACAGAGTATGTGCTGTATATATCCCACAAGTAGGTCTTTAGATGCATGGATTTCACCAGGATGAAGGCCAATAATTAAAGCTAACTCTGGATCCACACTTATGGCTAAGAACAAATAACGGCAAGAACAAACAATGGAAAACCTTGTTGCTGATCATTGTGCAAACATTTCAAACATAAGATCATTAAAAAATGTTACAGCTAAACGATTAAATAAGGATATGCTTTGTCATAGTTAATATAGGTCTTCTGACTGCGGCGGTGGGGTAGCCTAGTGGTTAAAGCGTTCGCTCGTCACGCCGAAGGCCCGGGTTCGATTCCCCACATGGGTACAATTTGTGAAGCCCATTTCTGGTGTCCCCCGCCGTGATATTGCTGGAATATTGCTAAAAACGGCGTAAAACCATACTCAGTCAGTCAGTCAGTCTTCTGACTCATGAAAATATAATTGTAAGTCATTCATTGTTTTTTTGTACTTATATGTTGTAAGACAAGTTGGGGTGCGGCGGGGTAGCCTAGAGGTTAAAGTGTTCGCTCGTTCCGAGTTCAATTAACAACATGGGCACAATGTGTGAAGCCCATTTCTGGTGTCCCCTGTCATGATACTGCTGGAATATTGCAAAATGCGGCGGCGTAAAACCATACTCACTCGCATGTCAAAAAGGATGTTCAAAGGACTGGCCAGTAATTGGTTGATTGATCATAACTCAGCCAATTGGTAAACGCAAGCGTGTATACACGTATGGTATAGTTTCTGTGGCTTTATATCTGTGTAAATCATATTGAAATGTATTCAAAGGAGTTACCGATAATACATCGATTGATCATTGTTTTTTATTAGTGGAGATCATGAAATATATTTTAGTTGACCAGTCAGATTATACACCTCTGAAACTCCTAACAATTCGTGAATGTCATGATGCATATATGTTTAGTTTGTTTTAGTTTGGATTTTTCTTTGTTGTTAACGTCACACTGAACAATATTCCAGGTACATTAAATATGACAGCGGTCTGCAAATAATCGAGACTTGACCAGACAATCCAGTACTTCCGATAGTATCGTGTTTCTTCTAGAATAAACTGATCTTGGTATATATATGCCCACGGCCTCTCAATAAAACTGGTACGGAGTGATGTGAATGGAGCTACCATAGTCCAAGAAAGGCAGGTCCACTCCATCCCTATCACCACATGGTTCGTGAAACAAGACGTTACTTTGAAAACTGTATAGCCAACGGTCACTTGAGAAAATAATCTGGATGCAATACCAATAATGCACGGTTGCCAAGGCGATGAAAAGAGAATATGAAAAAAAACAGCCTAAAATATTGATTTTTTATAAACAGTAACTTACACTGCGGGAAGAAAGAAATCGGGCTCTTTCACAGGATTTCTAGTATATCATGACTTTCTGTGTGCACATCCTTTAATTGGATATAATCTTGAATGCAGAGCATTCACGACTAGTTGATCGTGGAAGATGGCTGAATGATAGATAACCTTGGTGAGATTTATATGAAATCAGGGGCGATGGGGTAGCTTAGTGGTTAAAGCGTTGGCTCGTCACGCCGAAGACCCGGGTTCGATTCCCCACATGGGTACAATGTGTGAAGCCCATTTCTGGTGTCCCCGCCGTGATGTTGCTGGAATATTGCTAAAAGCGGCGTAACATTAAACTCACTCACTCATATGAAAACAAGGTAGTACAAAACACTAGTACATGTATACCTATTAAGCGTGATATTGCCCATCTACATTACCGGAAGAGCCACGGTCAGAGTGTAACAACAAACAGGCATTTATAAAAATACATTGCACGAACACAAAAAGACCAAAACTAAAATAAATGCATTTATTTGAAAAAAGCGTTTTCATTTCCTCCTTCAGTGATGGCCATGAATGAAACATAATACATGTAGCTGTTCACATATTACGCTCCTCACCGCGAATAGCGGTAATAATGCTGGTGCAGCGTAAAACAATAATTGTTATTCATTCATACGTATTACTGCCTATATATTCATTGTATACACAATATTATCCCCTCGAAGTAATATTTTTCGCGCTTTTATAAAATGCAAATTTTATTTTCCATGACGATATGTCAATGTTCTGGAGAGGAAATCTGTGTTTTAGATCAGCCTGCAAGATGTCAATGGCTTTGTTAACAGCCCGTACTTCTCTAAAGTCGTAGAAAAAGTTGGTATGCGGCTGGAAAGACCTGTCTCTTCGGAAGTGGCCTTCATTGTTATGGAGAGCACAGTCTACGTTTACTTTGAGCGATCCATCGTCTAGGAAGTCTGCAATGCGAGACAGCTGGGAGCTCAGGTCCGCCTTCAGGTCATCGAACAGAACGACCTTCACATTCGGGCACCTGAGCCAGTTGCTGTAATATGGCTGCCACTTCTTGGAACTTTTCTTGAAGAACTCGTTCCAGTCTAAAATACAAACCCGGAACCTTGGTTTTATTTCGATCAAAACTAATTCTAATACAGATATTGTATATGAATGTGAAATGTTCGATAGGTATTAAGTTTATGTAAGTTTTATATATAGCAAGGGTATTTCTGTCTGCAGCTTAAAACAACAACCATTTACTCATTGATGTGGTCATATGCCTTTAGGACCTCTCTGTATGATAAAGGTACAGGTGGGTACAATTCCAGGAAGGTGGCATCTTTGCTATTTTGAAACGTTGGCGTCGTAAACTTACACGTTCGAATACAATGTAGACTAGTCTGTCTCACAGTCCCCCAACCACATTATTTTCCCTTTCGTCCAGCCCTTTCTGCACTACTAAAGCCCTAAATGAAGCAAGTCTAGATTCCCCCCCAGGTACTGAGACTCCCAACTCACTGTGGCACCATTCGCCACCACTCGCCCCTTTCCGTAAACTTGGGGTTGTGATGATGATTTTATGGAGAAGCATGTACAATGAGAATGGCTGAGTATGGTTTTACGCCGTTTTTAGCAATATTCCAGCAACATCACGGCGGGGGACACCAGAAATGGGCTTCACAAGTTGTACCCAAGTGGGGAATCGAACCCGGGTCTTCGGCGTGACGAGCGAACGCTTTAACCACTAGGCTACCCCACCGCCCCTCAATGAGAATGACCCTCCTAAACATTTATGTACAAAGAAAGTGACCCGTCCCACCCTGCATGTCACTTACAAAATTTATGACAAACCCCACCCCATTCCCATGATTTCTTGGCATAATTTCTTAATATTAACGTGTACAAAATTGATGACCCGCCTTAGTACTTGTGTACAAAATTGATGACCTCCTACCTCCCCAGAACAAAATGGGTGACACCCTCCCACCCCCACCCTCCCTTAAAATCATCAACACACCCTCCTAGCCATAAATTATTTCCCTACAATCACACTTGCAACATACTCACTAGACTAATTCTTAGTCTCTGAATATATATAATTTTGATTATATAAACAAGCCCATTTTAATTGAAAAGGAGCCCCAGGGAGACCAGAGATTCAGAACCTGAGGAAATCTAGACTTGCTTTATTTGGGGCTTTAGCACTGCAGATAGGGCTTGGCAGTAGGGAAAATCATGTGGTTCAGGGACTGAGTGACAGACTACATACTCACGTGCGATAAAGGCAGAGACGTACGCATGAGCGACATGATCCCCTCCCATGTAGTATCTGTTGAACTCTGCCAGAAGAGTGTCGTACGGGTTCCTCAGCAGCAGGATGACTCTCTTTGTGGATTCCACCGAGGTGTTGGCTGAGGGATTGTAGTCATTGTGAGTCTTCACAACGATGGTGGACTCGTTCCGGACAAACTCACCGATAAAGCCTTTCTCTAGTAGCCGCTTGTCTGACCAGTTGGAGCCGGTTGCGTAACCTGCAGTGGTATCATGATTACGGTCGGTTAGGGATTTGTCCCAGGGAATAAATTACATTTTTATACTCTCCTGTCATTGATACAAATGCGGGCGGTAACAAAAACAACATAATGATAACTACAGAGTACCATACGAGCATCTGTATAAAGCAACCCTTAGAAGTTCAACCATTTGGTTCTAGCAGATGGCACGGTTTGTGTGGAAGTGAGGAGTTGCGTTCCCTAGCAACTGCTGATCTGCTGATACTGATAGTGTGTTCGTTTCCCAACGTTATTTTTTAGATCCATGTTATTTTAAGCAACAATGCCTGCTCGTTTGTATTTTACAACCTACCCTACTTGGAACAACATGTGAAGCATGTTACGAGCGGTCGATGGATAGCTTTTATGTTTGCGATACATCTTTTACTGGATTCCAAGCAGATCCCTGAGTACCCCCTTTAAACTTGTGTTATAATGAAACAAACATGACAATAAATACCAGCTTGTAAACACAACTATTATATACCTATGAAAAATCACCATAGAACTACTTCTTGTTTCTTATATATTTATTCAATCTTAGACAGATCTCTCCGTGTCCCTGTGCCTGTTGAGACAACACAGTTCAACTATAGAACTGGACTAACGAACATCTAGTCTCTGAAATGAACATATTTTACAGAAAACACGTTTTTAGATTAAAATAAAATACAATAAAAAGGAGCCCAGAGACTTTCTTCATTTTCAGAAATTGTGTTAATCTAGACTTGCCACATATTCTAGACTTGCATCAGCTGCAGTGGGTATATTTGTTTCAGGGTCTGTATGACAGACTACGATAGAACCATCGGGACACAAGCTGGTATATCAATTTTCTGATGTTAAAAATTGTAACTGCCAGCTGTACTAAATTCAAGACAAACCCCATTTTTTCAAGGATCAAACCAGACTGGAAGAATTACATTATTGAAAAGAAATCCTCGTTATAAAACATATTTTACCTGTCATCCTCTCAATAAGATATCGGAGCCAGGTGTTGCCAGACCCAGGGTAACTTGCAAACACTGTCAGCCTCATAGGCCGATCTAAGAAGCGGGTGGTACTCGGGCATGTCTCCGATGCTCTGGTGTCTTTGTGTGAAGTGTACCCATAGGTGTCATAGCCCTGGCGATAGGTGTCACTGTGATCCTGGCGCTCAGATGTGTGTAACTGGATCATCAGAATGGTCAGAGCCATGCACCCCAGAACCAGGTGGACAGTTGACCTGCGTCGTCTAAACCTGAACATGACCATAGGGATCTGCCCTTGCAATGATGTAATAGTTCCTTGTTAGAGGCGTCACCGCTTGAAACATGTAGATGTATACAGACTGCCGGGGAAGCGAAATTATACACACTGGAAATAATAAATGTCAAGACAGTCGCCGAAACCATGCAAATTTCAGGTCCAAATCACAACTATGATACAAGTATGAGTGAGTGAGTTTAGTTTAGCTTTACGCCGCACTCAGCAATATTCCAGCTATATGGTGGCAGTCTGTAAATAATTGAGTCTGGACCAGATAATCCAGTGATCAACATCATGAGCATCGATCTACGCAATTGGGATATGATGACATGTGTCAACCAGGTCAGCGAGCCTGACCACCCGATCCCGTTAGTCGCCTCTTACGATAAGCATGGGTTACTGAAGATCAGTTCTAACCCGGATCTTCACGGGTCGATACAAGTATGAAATATAATCATCATCGATTAACGAAATACAATTTCGATCTGGCCGCTTTAACCAATGTCATGTTTGAATCCGAGTTCAATGTGTCAAAGTCATAAAAGGAAGCATCGAACGCTCATAACATGCGCTACTTTACCCCTCAAGGAAGTTTATATTATAAACACCGAATACGAATGTTAATTCTGGAGTGGGTGGGTCAGTTTAGCTTTACAGCTCAGCAATATTCCAGCTTATGGCGGTCTGTAAATAATCGAGTCTGGACCAGACAATCCAGTGATAAACAGCATGAGCATCGATCTGCGCAACTGGGATACAATGACATGTGTCAACCCAGTCAGCGAGCCTGACCACCCGAACCCGGTTAATTCTGGAAAGGTTTGATCATAATATCTATATATATATATAAATAATAAAACCGACTGTACTTTATGAAGTCAACTGTCTGTTTATCGTGAAAGGGATGATGCATTTAGATGAAAGTATTTGTGCTTGTTCTTGTAATTCGTAAGTCATACAATAAAATAACAATTTCAGTCTTTTTCGACGAATTGCACAATCATGAGCTTATAATATATATCGTCTATTATAATATAGTATAAAATACTCACCAAGCAAACACTAAGTGTATCGTGTAACTCCAACTGTTAACAGTCATCTCCTGTGGAGATTAATTAAAGGACTGGTTGATGTACATATGGCCACGGGACGTTGAAGACCTGCTGTTGCGCACTGCGATGTCAGAGACAGCTTCATAGGTCTGCCTTGGACACATTACCACTTTACTCCACTGGTAAAGGTGCTCAATCTAATTTGACAAGTCAGATAAGAATCTGTAGAGAATCTGATTAGAATCTGAAGGAACAGATTGGGACATATTAGTGAGTGAGAGAGTGAGTTTTGTTTTACGCCGCTTTTAGCTTATTGAGCAATATCACGAGGGGCGCCAGAAATCATTTCACCTGAGTTTCCCAATGGTCATTTGACGACAAACTTTCACCACTAAGGGGGCTACCCCACCGCCCCTGGGACATATTAAGGTATCAGTGCACACTGACACCGGTCATTCAGTTCTTAACCATTTCAGATAAATAGTTTTAGCTGGCTTTCATTATTTTTTCTTTCTTTTCTATTATGTTACCTTTTGAAGAGTATGACCTCGGAGAGATACACATCCACATGAGAATTACGATACATAAAAACGGAAAAACACGTCCCGGTAACCATTAGATATTTCTGCTCAAAGCACAGTCCGATGTCACCCGTCACAAATAGATGCATTGACATCTGGATCCGCCTATATAGGTTACGTTACTTATGATATGATTATATTAAATATGTTTCGTGAAAACGTATCAAGGAAATCTGGAGCGCCATAACAATGTATAGGTCAATAAGCATACATTTGAAGGGTTGCACATGTTTTGTTTAAAACATTGTTACGTTGTTTAAATGCGAGAAACAAAACTTCGCTAATCGATTTAAAATACCTAAATCCTGTGATGTGCAAAGTAATTCAAATTTATCATAAAAAGGATGCATGAGCACAAAAGAGCTCAGGCAAAATTGTATGATGTCTAAGATTATAGTAAAACGGACATTCCAAATTCATGTGATATTCTGTCTCAATTACAGGTATAACACAAAATGGACATAATCTAGAATTTCTTGTCGGACCAGATTTTCTTCCAGACCCGCTTCTTATCATTAACTGATTGCCTGAACAGCGGAATTTTCTCAAAGCATTACGATAAGGCTGGATTTACACTACGCCCGCATTTTTTGACGCATGCGTTACCGAGTGCGTTTTTTCCAATACACTAGGTGCGATCATCTGCGATATAAGACGGATGAATATAAGATGGAGGGAAAATCCCAGCATCTCTGGCAGTTTCTGTGCATGAGGAAGAGAACAAAACACGGAGATGGTGGGTACATCCCTTAAACCAACAAAGATTTCTTGAAGGAGCCTATAATCGTCTTATAAGGGAATTATTAGGGAATTAAATAACATCAATCTTTTATGTGTTTTCGAAATATTGAACTAAAAGTTTGTAGAAAATATTTACCTCTATACCAACATTGTTCTCTCATACACACAGGCATTACAAATTCCACATATATAGAATCTGAGCAGTACTGATTTCCCTGGGGAACATATTTATGAGGGTTCTGTTGACGTGAACCAAATTGAGCCTCATGAAATATCTGGGCAATTTTATTCTTCATAAGACTTTTAGAAGCATCTTGAAGTAGCTCGTTCTAGGAATGACATTTATCAACGGTTTGTCATATTATTGAATCTGTTGTGCACAGACAGGCGCAGAAACACATTGTAAATAATATCTCATAAAAAAACAGCCTGTCTGCAATTGGAATCGCGTGTTTTTATCGAAAGATGAGGAAATAAACTTACCTGATTGTCAACGTGTTGGGGAAATACTTTATTGGAATGACGTCATCAGGGGAATTCCTCATGCGAGTTCATTTGCGTTGCGTCAAAAATAGGAGGCCTACCTATCTAAATCGCTTCGGATCGCAACGCATGCAAAATTCGCACCTAGTGTATTGTCTAAATGGAAATTGTACTGCTTGCGGTTTTTCGGACGCAACGCATGACGCAACGCAGAGAAAATCGGACGTAGTGTAAATCCAGCCTAAGCTGGTACTTCCAGGTAAGTTCTCCCTCACAAATGAAAGTTTAATGTCACAATATAAAATTAGTTTAAGATAAGAATGAATACGTGTCAACAAAGTTTGTGTATCTATATCAATACATCTAATTCTAAAAGTTCCTATGAAAGATGAAAGGTCGAAATCCAGTTGTTTTTCCATACATATCCTAAACCATACTTTTCTAATAGCTGTTTTACTTGTAACTCCAAACAAGATATTCCAATTTCTGCTAGTCTATATTGACAAAGATAAGCATTTGATAAAGTTACATTATCTTTCTGTTGAATCAAGCGTACCCAGAATCGATTACAAATTGATGTATTTTCAGAGAATAACGACCTAATTCACCACGAGCTAAAATATTTGGAACTGCTCTTGGAAGATGTAATATTTCCTTTAAGAATTTATCATGTACATTAAGAATATCCTGAGAAGGACGAAAACCCCAAATGTCCGTAGCATACATCAATATTGGTAATATCTTAACATCAAAAGTTTTAATAGCACATCTAATGACAAATTATTAAACATATGGATTCCACTTTTTTCATGATATGACTTTAGTAACTGTAAAATGGGCCTGTGTCCCCTTTATTGAACAAAAAAATATTCATAAACTGTCAGCAAAGACAAACACATTAATGATTATTGACCATAAAACTGCAAAGATAAATATAACTGTTCACAAGTACAGAGCAACAACATGTAGCGTGTTTTCATTCGTCACCGCCGGGGATCGGACCACCGACCTTTTCCATGTGACATACATTTATGTCATTTACTCAAATGAATTTTTCGTAACGTATTGACTGAATTCTCATATAACCATGATAGTCCAACTCCACTATTGAATCATCAAAATATTGGAGCATCAAAATATTAGAGCATCAAAATACCTCCCAATTCAGTAGGATATATTTTTGTAGGATTTCCCCATGTACTATGACATCATATATATGTGTTGTAAACTCAACCTTTGTTATTGTATACATGTGTAAATGAGATTATTTTATGACTTTGACTTGGAGACGATATGACATTACTGCATAACATTATCATTATCAAAAGATAGAGATTTATGTACTTGATATCCAAAGAAAACCCAAAACCCTGTAAAATGGGCCTGTGCCATCCAACTCCAATTGTTATTTTATGAGTGCTTCAAATACTTGATAGGTGCTCTCCAAGTCTGAAGGTCATTTTCTATAAGGGACAAGTCGTTTAATTATATTGTAATCGAGTATATTATGAACATGTTGCGCCTTTGAGATACAGAGTCATGTACAATTTATACCTGTTATTTTAATCATTATGCATTATATTTTGGAAGGTATTTAGAATATGATTATTTAGGAATCAGTTTAATGTCAGTATTTCAAAATGAATTCTCAAAAGCGGGAGAATCAAGATGGCCGAAAAAGAGAAAAGTGATAACATTGCAGATGAAACTTCCAAAGTGTCAGGCATACTTTTGATTTAATTTGCAACCTAATTATATGTAATGATTATGCTTGCTTATTGCCTCTTGATGATTAAATATAATGAACTGTTATTGTTGTATTCAATATATGAAATAAGTTTCTCGGTCCTTTTATTAGTTTTAGAGGTTTTAGCCTTTAGGCAAATAGTGATCTGTTAGAAAAGCCAACGACGTATATACACGTGGATGTACGTCTTTGGAAAAGCCTTGCTGTGCTAGTGTAACTGACTGGTCGCTGCTTACTGTAGCGGTAATTGGGTGTCCTTTCACGGGTCTCGGGATTCTTTTCGATCAATATGTTAGTGGGTGTGTTAGGGTTAGGGAAGGTTGCACCCAACTCAGTCCTTAAGACGTTATTCCGTGTGTACTCTTTCCGACCCAACACACCTTTACGATCACCAGGGTTAGCTACTGAATTTCAGCCCAACATTACCTCATGACCTCCAGCATTGAGGACCACTTGCCAATTAAACACTCCATTATCGTAAAATTTAGTCACCTCCTTTATGATCTTTTTGGGGTTAGTTGTTGTGGTTCATTGTATGCCACAGCCATCTCATTATGGTGACAAATAAATCCAGTGCAATGAAATATAACTTTTGTCACATGATATTACTTGAATATTGATGATATCAGTGTAATCCAATTCACTCACTCCCAAGTTCTTTATACCAAAAGACGTTGAAAGATGGCACTTGTTGTTTCCTTGCCTAGTGCTAAGCATTAAAAGGGATAAAACAAGGACTGCTTGGCTTGGAGTCATTAGTCTGTGTCTGAGAGGGGTATATATGTCAACTGCCTTATGAATATCTCAGTACAGGAGACCGCCTTTGTGGTGTAGTGGTTAGAGCGTCCGCCCGGAAAGCGGAAGGTCGCGGGTTCGATCCCCGACCGCTTCATATCAATAGACGTTAAAATATGGTACTTGTTGGTCCCTGCCTGGCGCTCGGCATTAATGGGTACAACAAGGACTGGTCGGCTCGAGTCAGTATAATGTGTCTGAGTTGGGTATTCATGCTTCACTGTGGCATGGTATCTCAGTGGGCTAGCACTATAAAAGCAGCTTAAGTCTGGGATAGTACAAGCAGCCGTACATACACATACACACGCATGCACGTCGTCATATGAGCGAAATATTCTCAAGCACGACGTAAAACCCAGTTTCACCTCACCTCACCTCAGTACAGGAGCATTAAAAACTATTCTAAGATGCTTTGGTGAAAGATCAAATGCGCCTACTGTACTTTATCAGACGATAAAGAGCGCTTTTGGCATTATGTCACAATGTACTGGCGTCACTGCACCATTCTAGTCTGTCCCCTCGTAATCGAACACTTTTCATTATGTCACTTTGTAACTGACATCACAATGCATGTCAGTTGTCATCGCCTTGTAAAGCCTCCTACAGTAAACTACTTCGTTTGCATCCTGTTTCTTGGTTTGCAGTTGCTTCCCTCAGCTACCATCACTGGTGGAAACATTATGTTTATGTTTTCTGACGGATAAAATATCTCAGTTCGACTCACAATTTTACAGTGACACGGTAACGTTCGCAATGTTTACATTCCCACAATGCAATCGTGGAATGTCGCTGGACTTGTCAGCTTCATCTGGATGTACTGATCTAAACTTACGTTGGTAGTAGAAATGCGACATTCATATTGCCCCATATGGTTTACGTTAAGCACAGATGTAATTAAAATTATTCAGAGAAGATATGTAAAACGAACGTAAACTGTCATCAAACTGTTTATCATTTGTTTTTTCTGGTAATGTTCATCTTAACGTAGGGGGTCAAAAGTACAGCGTGTCAGTTAGCCCTGTGTGAGGATTCTTAATTTGGTCACCGACACCGTCATTTGTTTTCTGCCTTAGCTTATTCATAATTATCCTAAGAAAGTATTAAACTTTAATTATAATAGTTCAGGGCGAAAGTGTGCTTTATTACACTATACATGAGGGTAGAGCGAACTGTATTTCTTAAGCATGAGTGTGGCCGTGTACAAGAACCCTGATACATGCACATCATTACAATTTACAGTACATCAATAACACAACATTAAACCCTGTTTAACTTTGTGCACCTGTATATCATTGGGCCCCAATATCAGCAACCTTGATTGACAATCTTGTAATCAGTACATTGTTAAGTGTCATATGTTAGATGGAGGAATGTTTTACAATCTATGAGAGAAGTATTTATTAACAGTAAACAATGTCGTTGATGCTCATGTTGTATGCTCTGACAGCCCCGAAGCAACAACTGAGAAGGCAGGATCCATCCAGGCAATAGACAGAGGATCGGTTCATCGTATATGTTCAGGACAAGTCGTTCTTACGCTGGCCATTGCTGTCAAGGAACTGGTTGAGAACAGTGTAGATGCTAGAGCAACAAGTGTTGGTAATACACCATATTTCTGCTATTGAATGCTTTTGTTAAAAGGCATGACCAATTTAGTTGTGTTGTTTTTCAGATTCCCTTTCACTGTGCCAATTTCAAAACAAAAACTTAAGTAGAAATCAGTCCTGTGGGCCTTAGCAACTTTTTCATTAAATTATAAGTGGCCTTGACACGGCAAACTATGTTTGACAACACATGTTAAAATTTCAAAAGTTGTCAAAATAGCATTTTCACACGTCAAACACATGTTGTCAAACTTTTGTGTCATTTGAGCGATGCTAATTTGTAGGATGAGTTGACCAGACAACCAAAACATCACGTGACAGTTTTGTTGACTGCTCTTGGTTGTTTCTGAACAACACAAGTTTGACAACACTTCACACGTCAAACTTGAGTTTGACAACACCGAAAGTTTGATAGAAAAGTTGGTGATAATAGAGACCGATCCTATTTCTCGACAACAGTTTGACAACTCTGAAATTGGTGTTGATGACGAGTTGTTTGAATGTTCACACTCGAAAACTCGAGTTTGAAACATGTGTTGTCAAACTTTAGTTTGCCATGTGAAGGCCACTTTAGAGTTCAGTGACACTTTCACCGTGTTTATCTCCCCTGTTTTCTCATAAAGAAACTTGGAAGTGAAAGGTGATTTGAATAAAAACATGAAATCAAAAAGGGGGTTGTGTATTGTAAACAATATGTTTATAGTTACAGTCTGCATGGCTTAGGAAGCTTTTGTTATTGAAATTTAATGGTAGTGTGACACTTTCACCATGATTAAAAAAACCATGAAGCCAAAAAGGTGATTCTGTATTGTAAACACGAAAATATGTAATAGGACAATTCAGTATTACATTTAATGCGTATATATTGTTTTAAGTAATGCCATTATTTACATAGATTTCTCCCCTTCCGGTATTTTGGGGATGATTTCTGTAAAACATATATAATTTCATTTGACGTAGAAACGGTATCAGCCCAAACAACTTCATTGTACTTAATGTGATATGAAAGTTGAAACAAATATGTGCCACTTGAACATGAAGAACTGATGTGCGAATCTGTTGGGTCTGATATTACTTTTTTGTGTCGACACAGTATGTAATATTAGTTATAATGTTCAGTTTTATAAAGCAACCTATTTCACTAGCACCTGGCGTTGATGAACGTGAACCTGACAACCTCTGTCTCAAAATGTAAGAGTGATGTTCATTTTGTATTTTTGTCAGAGGTGAAACTGAAGGAGTATGGCAGTGAAAGTATTGAGGTCAGTGATAACGGAACAGGAGTGGAGGAGAAGAACTTTGAGGGACTCAGTAAGTTTTGTTTTTTTTTCACTTTATTTTAATTGTGTAGTACTGGAGTATATCATACAAAGGATGGCAGGTTTCTGTACAGCACTAGAGTTACCCATGTGTAGTACTGGAGTATATCATACAAAGGATGGCAGGTTTCTGTACATCACTAGAGTTACCCATGTGTAGTACTGGAGTATATCATACAAAGGATGGCAGGTTTCTGTACAGCACTAGAGTTACCCGTGTGTAGTACTGGAGTATATCATACAAAGGATGGCAGGTTTCTGTACAGCACTAGAGTTACCCATGTGTAGTACTGGAGTATATCATACAAAGGATGGCAGGTTTCTGTACAGCACTAGAGTTACCCATGTGTAGTACTGGAGTATATCATACAAAGGATGGCAGGTTTCAGTACTGGGTATATCATACAAAGGATGGCAGGTTTCTGTACAGCACTAGAGTTACCCATGTGTAGTACTGGAGTATATCATACAAAGGATGGCGGGTTTCTGTACAGCACTAGAGTTACCCATGTGTAGTACTGGAGTATATCATACAAAGGATGGCAGGTTTCTGTACAGCACTAGAGTTACCCATGTGTAGTACTGGAGTATATCATACAAAGGATGGCAGGTTTCTGTACAGCACTAGAGTTACCCATGTGTAGTACTGGAGTATATCATACAAAGGGCGGCAGGTTTCTATACAGCACCAGAGTTACCCATGTGTAGTAATTGGAGTATATCATACAAAGGATGGCAGGTTTCTGTACAGCACTTGAGTTACCCATGTGTAGTACTGGAGTATATCATACAAAGGATGGCGGGTTTCTGTACAGCACTAGAGTTACCCATGTGTAGTACTGGAGTATATCATACAAAGGATGGCAGGTTTCTGTACAGCACTAGAGTTACCCATGTGTAGTACTGGAGTATATCATACAAAGGATGGCAGGTTTCTGTACAGCACTAGAGTTACCCATGTGTAGTACTGGAGTATATCATACAAAGGACGGCAGGTTTCTATACAGCACCAGAGTTACCCATGTGTAGTACTGGAGTATATCATACAAAGGATGGCAGGTTTCTGTACAGCACTTGAGTTACCCATGTGTAGTACTGGAGTATATCATACAAAGGATGACAGGTTTCTGTACAGCACTAGAGTTACCCATGTGTAGTAATTGGAGTATATCATACAAAGGGATGGCAGGTTTCTGTACAGCACTAGAGTTACCCATGTGTAGTACTGGAGTATATCATACAAAGGATGGCAGGTTTTGTACAGCACTAGAGTTACCCATGTGTAGTACTGGAGTATATCATACAAAGGATGGCAGGTTTCTGTACAGCACTAGAATTACCCATGTGTAGTACTGGAATATATCATACAAAGGACGGCAGGTTTCTATACAGCACTAGAGTTACCCATGTGTAGTACTGGAGCATATCATACAAAGGATGGCAGGTTTCTGTACAGCACTAGAGTTACCCATGTGTAGTACTGGAGTATATCATACAAAGGATGGCAGGTTTCTGTACAGCACTAGAGTTACCCATGTGTAGTACTGGAGTATATCATACAAAGGATGGCAGGTTTCTGTACAGCACTAGAGTTACCCATGTGTAGTACTGGAGTATATCATACATAAGATGACAGGTTTTTGTACAGCACTATAGTTACCGATGTGTAGTACTGGAGTATATCATACAAAGGATGGCAGGTTTCTGTACAGCACTTGAGTTACCCATGTGTAGTACTGGAGTATATCATACAAAGGATGACAGGTTTTTGTACAGCACTAGAGTTACCCATGTGTAGTACTGGAGTATATCATACAAAGGATGGCAGGTTTCTGTACACTGTAGTTGCCCGTGTATATCCTACAGCAAAGTGTATGCCTTTGTAAACAGAAGATTTGGCAATGTCCTGTATATTAACATATCATACAGAGAATACTACAGGCTTTGGTAGAGCACTAGAGTAAAGTATAAGAGTACATCATACAGAGAATACTACAGGCAACTGTAGAACACTGGTGTTGTCCATGTCTGGTAAAGGAGTATATCATATGGAGAATACTGCAGGCCTTTGTAGAACACTATAGTTGTACATGTATAGTATATGAATATATCATGCAGTGAATAGTCCTGGCTTCGGTTCTTCTTGTGAAGTATAAGAGTATCGGGTATATCATGTTATTGAATGTCCTTGTTGAGTATAAGAGTACATCATGCAATGAATGCTACAGGGTTTGGTAGAGCTCTTGAGATGTCACAAGTGTATGTAATACAGAGAATATTACAGGCTCCTAATAGAAACATTGGCTGTGTCTAGTAATGAATTATTACCACAATAATATACCCTACCCTATTATGCCTTTCCACAGCCTTAAAGCACCACACGTCTAAGCTGCAGGACTTCGGGGACTTGGTTGGAGTGGAGACATTTGGTTTTAGAGGGGAGGCTTTGAGCTCTCTCTGTGCTTTAAGGTTTGTCTGTTTTGTATCAGCACTGACTGGGTTCAGGGCTAGTTTCCATGGATATAACCCTCATTGACTTTGGAAATAGCTGGTTACCTGATGTTGCAGAAGTTTGTTTTGTTATGGATATATTTGCCATGACATTCATTTTGCCCCAATTTTCACATTGAGTTTATTAAAGATGAACTGTCTTGTTTTTGTGACAGAGAAAGATACAGACAGTAAGTTTTGGTATTGTTTTGTCTTTGATAGACATTTGAATTGAAAATGGACAGTTGAAATATATTTATTTACCATGTTTGTGAGACAGGTTTTCATTGACATTGAGTTTTGTCCCTTATTTTGCAAGGATATTCTTATGCTTATATGCGTGTCCACATCAGATCCTTGGCCTGTTTGCCTGATGTTTATGACCTTCACCAATATATATCAGCAGAATCATTTAGAGCTTTACTTCAATAAAGCTGACTAAAATGTAACACAAATACCTTTCTAAACCATGTTGACCCATGAAGATATGGGTTGAAATTGGTCTTCATTAACCCATGTTTGTCATAAGAAGTTGTAAATGGTCAGGATTGCTGACATGGTTGATGCATGTCATCTTATCCCAGTTGCATAGATTAATGCTCATGATATCAATCACAGGGTTATTTGGTCCCAACTCGATTATTTACAGTCTGCCATCATGAAGCTGGAGTATTACTTAGTGTGGTGTTTATCAACAAACAAACATCCTTCCCATGTTAAACCAAGCTTGTTCTAGACTGTTTCTATGTTATACAAGTGGTGTGATAATGTTGTATGTTTCAGCAAATTATGTGTTGTTACCCGTCATGAGGATGCAAGTGTTGGGACAAGACTAGAGTTTGATCATCATGGGAAGATCTGCAGCAGGGCACCATGCCCTAGACAGGTTAGTCTGGCAGTGAAAGTTTTATATCTCACACCTTCAGCACAAACAGGGGCGGTGGGGTAGCCTAGTGGTTAAAGCGTTGGCTCGTCACGCCGAAGACCCGGGTTCGAATCCCCACATGGGTACAATGGAATCCCCACATAGGCTAATATTGCTAGCGTGTGAAGACCATTTTTTGCCCTTTTTCATCCTTATCATATATAGTTATGGTGTATCCGTTTACAATATCAATTGGGGGCATGGTGGGCGAGCTGTCTAAGGCGCAAGGCTAGTGATCCAGCGAGCTTGAGGTGTCGGGATCAAGCCCACCTGTGACCGGGTGTAAAAACTTTGTGTTCAGACTCTTTCAGTGTTGTCACAACCATTAGTGTACAGTACACAACCCTGTGTACAGAACCCACAAATCCGTTGTTATATGACAAGATGGGTCAGCAACATGCAGTAAACTTGGACAAAGTACTGTGACTATGTGTCCCAGTCCACCCAGCTGTGAATGGGTACTTTGTAAGGATGGGAAAGCCGTAATAACTTGGTGTGCCTAGTGGCTGCAAGAGTTGTATGATCCCCAGGGGAGTTGAGATTGATAATACGATATGCTGTTGAGATTGACATCCAATGATCCGGGGACAAAATACCAGTGCCTTGAGCACGTACTAGTTGCGTGGATATGTGCGCTATGTAAATATCCTACAATAATCAATCACTTGATCATGTGGTCCAGATTAGATTATAGTTGCCATCAAGGACGCTATTGATGCACCATTAAATAAGAAACACACTTACCCCAGTAATCAGCCTGACTGGTGATGATGAGAAGAATTGCTCTTCCTGGCATGATGCGTATTTCACACACAGGTTCTGACCGATCAACAGTGGCCATATTGGGGATCAGTCATTGCTTATAGGGCAGGGTGGAGCAGAAAGCATCAGGGAAGAGTCACCAAAGTATTTTTCAGTGTGGGCCTTGAACAAATGGAGATTTTACCCCCCAAAAATAGAGTGCTTTTGTCATGTTGAAATATTGCACTTTCAGGGAGAGTCATAAGAAGGGTTCATGTTGAGGGTCATCTAAACTATGACATAAGCATTCACTCACATTTGTAGTTAAATGATTATTCTACTGAGTTTTGTCCTTTTAGTGCCAATCAATTGAAGAGACGTTGAATTAACTTACTGTGTCTACGTCATGTCTTCAGAAAGGAATGACCGTGATTCTACAAAACCTGTTCTCGACACTGCCAGTGCGACATCGAGAGTTTCAGCGAAGTCTGAAGAAGGAGTTTGCCAAGATGATCCAGGTTCTCAATGCCTACTGTCTGGTGACGACCGGGGTCAGGATATCCTGTACCAACCAGGCTGGGAAAGGGTAAGTAGAATCATGTTGTTTTTCTGACAACCGGGGTCAGGATATCCTGTACCAACCAGGCTGGGAAAGGGTCAGTAGAATCATGTTGTTTTTCTGACAACCGGGGTCAGGATATCCTGTACCAACCAGGCTGGGAAAGGGTCAGGAATCATGAAAGGGGGAAAGGGTCAGGATGGTTGTCCAGGCTGGAAAGGGTAAGTAGAATCATGTTGTTTTTCTGACAACCGGGGTCAGGATATCCTGTACCAACCAGGCTGGGAAAGGGTCAGTAGAATCATGGTGTTTTTCTGACAACCGGGGTCAGGATATCCTGTACTAACCAGGCTGGGAAAGGGTCAGTAGAATCATGGTGTTTTCTGACAACCGGGGTCAGGATATCCTGTACTAACCAGGCTGGGAAAGGGTAAGTAGAATCATGGTGTTTTTCTGACAACCGGGGTCAGGATATCCTGTACCAACCAGGCTGGGAAAGGGTAAGTAGAATCATGGTGTTTTTCTGACAACCGGGGTCAGGATATCCTGTACCAACCAGGCTGGGAAAGGGTAAGTAGAATCATGTTGTTTTTCTGACAACCGGGGTCAGGATATCCTGTACCAACCAGGCGGGGAAAGGGTTGTTTTTCTGACAACCGGGTCAGGATATCCTGTACCAACCAGAATCATGGTGTTTTCTGACAACCGGGGTCAGGATATCCTGTACCAACCAGGCTGGGAAAGGGTAAGTAGAATCATGTTGTTTTTCTGACAACCGGGGTCAGGATATCCTGTACCAACCAGGCTGGGAAAGGGTAAGTAGAATCATGTTGTTTTTCTGACAACCGGGGTCAGGATATCCTGTACCAACCAGGCTGGGAAAGGGTAAGTAGAATCATGTTGTTTTTCTGACAACCGGGGTCAGGATATCCTGTACCAACCAGGCTGGGAAAGGGTCAGTAGAATCATGTTGTTTTTCTGACAACCGGGGTCAGGATATCCTGTACCAACCAGGCTGGGAAAGGGTAAGTAGAATCATGGTGTTTTTCTGACAACCGGGGTCAGGATATCCTGTACTAACCAGGCTGGGAAAGGGTAAGTAGAATCATGTTGTTTTTCTGACAACCGGGGTCAGGATATCCTGTACCAACCAGGCTGGGAAAGGGTAAGTAGAATCAGGTTGTTTATCTTACAAATATATGTAAACAAAATATTGTACAGCAAAATCTTTCTTTTTTTCTACATACCGTATATTACCGTAGATAAGCTGATCTCATAGATAAGCCGACCCCCTAACTTGACCCTTAAAATCAGTATCAAAATATTTTACATGTTTAGAGTAAAACCTGAAATTAAAATTACACAATGCTAGGATATATTTGTTTTGGTATAGGTTTAGGTATTATATTTTACTGATTACTGCGTCAGAATTCATCCAGTTATATTATTGTGTATGTTGTAATATATTCCAGTCAACTTGTTTTAAGTGGTATATGTAATAGATAAAAAAGGATGCAGTTGGAACTCAAACAAAATTTGTTAACCCATTATTTCAGGTTAATTAACTTCTAAACAAGATGTTATGCTGAAGATGATGATGATGATGATGATGATGATGATTTTTCACATGTCTAAGTCTCCATGCCATATCTGGGCTGAGACAAGTTTGATACACTTCATGTCAAAATGGTCTCAACAGTTAATCAGGATGGACCTTAAAGGTCACATGCAACCAAAAAATCATACATAATTAAAACACAATTATCACTTATTCATGGCATATAATATACATTGCTGATTATGAAAAAACATATAAACAAAATTATAAGCGTACAATCGCAAATCAAAAGTGCAATATTTTGTATTTGGGTTTACTTCCCAAGAAACGAAGCAGCCGGGATACCGAACCCAGTCAGAGAGGGACGGTGTGCACTCAAGTGTAATGGCTGGTTCATTTGCAGATGCCACTCTCACGGCTCATTGTGTGTGTATATATACAGATGTTGGGTTTTGTAAATACATGCTCATTTTTTGTGTATAACATTTTGCAATCAACAGACATCATAACATGTCATGTGTACAAGTATCACACCTGCCTGTCTGTGTAATTACATAATGTGACAGAGACCGAACTCGGGCCATAAATCAATGCGTTTTGTTTATGGTGTATAGCCTGATAGGTGTTAAGTTCAAATTGCATGTGGTCAGTGATCGAAGTTGTGTATTGAATATTGTCATTAGCAGACAGGCAGGCAGACACATAGGTGTCAATAAAACAGACATTGAGTTTTGTCTGTGACAATGACATATCTATATCACAGTTAGAAATTCTGTCAACGCTAAATAATGACATTGCTTTTAAGTATCGAACTGAGAAAGTGACTTGGTAAGAAGAACGTGTGGTGAAATAGACAAATGAAATTATATAAACAGTTAAATCGGTAATCTACTGTCATAACATATAAAAAGCTCGCGCCTGTGAAATATCAACGAAACATTAGAAAAATAGCTCACACCAAAGCCTTCACCGAGTATTCACGGACAACCCACTTCCAAGCTGTGCGAACCTATTTCACTCGCATGTCCTATGAGCGAGCCCAGCCCAGCCCAGCTGTTGAAACCACTGTTCCCCCAAGTGCTGGGGGCAAATTAGTGAATCGTTTGAACTCCGATTTCATGCGCTTTTTTCATCGCGCGTAATTTTTCAACTTTATAAGTTGAATTTGCATTTTGATGATTTGTTTCGGTAAGTCCATACCGAAAGGTATCAGAATCTGCAGAGTTGTGTTTTATGTTGCATGTGACCTTTAAGCAATTTAAACTATATTTTTCCTTATCCTGACTCATGCTAAATGCTTGTCTCCTTCTTCTTGCGAATGATAGTGGAACACTTGAAATCCCTTGAAGTTCCCTTCTAAAAAAGCGGACGTAAAATCATCACTCACCCACGAGTGGCCTCCCTTGCCTCCTTTGGCCCTTTTGGTCACATGACCAGCCATGTTTTGTCACTCTCTCCTTCTTCGCCCTTGAGGACGGTTGTGAGAGCACCTGGGTCCCTATACGGCACATATCCTTTTCTATTTTGGACCTTTACATCAAAATTATTGCTGTATACGGCTTTTAGGATTGTATTCTACTATATGGTTTGAAATTTGATCTAAATTATACGTTGTTTGACATGTTTTTTCATCGTGTTTACATTTGATGAAAACTTGTATTCGTTGTAGGTACCGGCTGTCTGCGGCTGACCCACATTTATTATGTCCTGATTGCACTACTTCATGTTCTTTCAGCTCTCGCTGTAAACATTGTCTGAATTTAACCACTTTTGAATTTAATAACTACCTTTTTTCCATTCATAGACGTGCAAAGGACTGGGTAAGAAGGTATTCACAAGTCATGTCTAAATCGAGTGATTGCGCTGATAACCGTGTGTTAACTACTGCTGCCGATGTTCATAATTCCAGTGAATTGCCGAGCAGTTTTACGGGGGCAGGTCGCTGTTCCAGTGATGAACTCTGGAGCCAATAAGAGATCGTCGTCAACGGAGCTGACCTCTTCGCAGACGAAGAAGACTAGATCGTCTTCAACGCAGAAGAAGAAGGCTACTACCCCTAAGACTTCATCGAAGTCTCTACACAGCTCTACGCAGAAGACGAGATCCTTCTCTGCCGAGATTGTACCTCTGGAAGAAGCAGACGTGTATGATGATCCCCCCATCCTCATACCTGAAGTCACAGTCGTCAGCAAGAAGACGAAGCCTGCTTCTACAGCTACATCGGCAACTTTATCAGCGCAGACATTGACAGAAGACCTTCTATCAACGCAGACATCGGGTACCAGAGATAGCAGCAGCGTCAACTCTTCACAAGTGCAGCATGCCTTAGAAGACGCCTCATCGTTGTCAGAAGCATCATCAACCCTGCAGCAGTCTCTTCAGACATCGCAGAACTTCAACCCGGGCTGTTTATGCAACAGTTTACAGACCAGATGATGTTGATGATGGAACGTCGCTTCACGGAGGAGAAAGCTGCTACGAAGACCACTACGATGACTACTAGCCTGCGTGAAGATTCAGCAGTCTCTCCAACGCACTTGGAAGAAGAGGGAAGCCTGCGTGAAGGCTCACGCACCCGACGATCTTCCCCATCTGAAGTTAGGAGCCTGGACAACGCTACTAACGTCAGCTCAGCCTTAGACGTCCCTGAAGGAGCCGCTAAGAATTCTCCACGCAGAAGCAGATCGAAGCGTTCTCCAGAACCCTACAGACGTCGTAGATACGGGTCATCATCACCATCGGACTCAGACGCACATCGGAACCTGCACGCAGGCACTCCACATCTTACAGAGGGGAAACTACGCCTAAGAATCAACCTTCACGAAGGCCTAGAGAGAGATCTCAAGACTCCAGGAAGGATACACGATCACATCGATCGCTCACCTGCGCACAGCAGTTCGCCATACAGATCTTCATACAGAGACTCACACGCCGTCGTGGATCGTCAGAGCGGGAGATGTCTAAATCAGAGGAAGAAGGTGAAGTCATATTCTCCGATACGGAAGTAACCTCATGGATTGCTAATGGCCTGGACCTAGCATCACCTTCCAAGGACACAGACGAAGCGTTTACATACAAGATGTCCAACGATGATTTCGACACACTCACCTTTCCGCCTATCGACCCGATCTCCCAAGTACCGGACAGTCTCAGCTCAGCCTTTGATAAGGCTACCAAGTTCCAGAATCAGCATATCCCGACGTTCAACGCCAGGAAATTCCCCTTACATCACATGGAACCCTTCCTGAAGGCACCAGAGATTGATGAGGACTACAAGATCATCAACGACTCCCGCTATAGAACTTACAAGATAGAGGACAAGAAGCTAGCGCAACTGGATACGACTACTAGACGTACCTTCTTCGGACTAGCCAGGTCTAGGGCTATCAACGAAGCACTCATCTCGAAGTTCAAGAACTCCACCGCCGAAGATGACCGGATGATATATTCTGCACTACTGACTCAGAAAAAGGACCACCAGTTTATGTCGGAGCATCTAGCATCCACATCAGCGGGCCTGACTCTCCTGAGGAGACAAGGATTATTGTCATCGTGCACCTGGAGTGAGCGGTTCACCAAGTCCTTATACAGAGCCCCATGGTCAGCATCATCCATCTTCGGAGGAGGAATTGAAGAAGTCGCCAAAGAGGTTACACACAAATCAAGGGAGGTCATGATGATAAAGTCCATAGATACCTTGGCAAATGTGATTCACCAGACGTCCCAGCGCTACTCCAACAAATCCAAGTTTGCAGGAGTCCAGAGAGCCAGAGAAAAGAAGTATTCCAGCTCGAGAGGAGGAAGAGGTTCTTTTCGTCGCCCAACCGGAGCCCCCAGAAGTAACCCCGGAAGAGGCCGAGCACCCAGGGGTGCCAGGGGAACCAAGCGCTGAAGGACAGGTTTGGAACGACTGGAGTCTTCCACCCCCAGCCGTTCCTGTACAACCTTCGACAGTGGGTGGACGTCTTCAACGGTACTGGGAGAATTGGGGAATACTACAGGACGACTACGTATCCCAGATACTACGCAGAGGGTACAAGATACAGTTGGAAGCCACCCCGCCGCTTACAAGCAACCCGCTGGCCTTCAACTACGCAGCCGACCAGACAGAGAAACTGGACGACGCAATCAAGACTCTACTCGACAAAGATGCAGTAGAAGAGATAAATCAAGATCTCATCACGCCCGGTTTTTACTCCCCAATTTTCCTGGTACCGAAGAAGAATTCCAAGGAGAAGTTTCGGCTCATCTACAACATGAGGAAGTTCAACCAGGAGTATCTCCGCAGACCAGCAAAATTCAAGATGATACATCTTCCTCAGCTCCGACATCTCGTTCGTCCATCAGACTACCTCGCCAGCATAGATCTACAAGATGCGTACCTACACATCCCGATACATCCAGACTCAAGGAAATACCTAAGATTCCTTTTCAACGGACATCACTTCCAGTGGAAGGTTCTACCGTTTGGAATATCGTCGGCCCCCTGGTTGTTTACTCGAGTGACCAAGCCCATCGTCACATATCTACATCGTCGAGGTCTACGCAGTGCTTTTTACCTGGACGACGGAATTCAAGTTCATCAAGATCCCAGTCAACTCAGACTGCAACTAGACTTCACCATCAGGCTTCTCACTCAGTTAGGATGGCTGGTAAATCTCCTCAAGTCGGAACTGGAGCTGAAACAGGATCTTCAATTTCTAGGAATACGACTCATCACGCCGGTGAATCGCATAGTCGTCCCAGAGGATTGTTGGGTCAAGATACAACAGATGATATCTCAAGCAATGCTCTCTCCGTTGACACTACGTGCTTGGCAAAGCATGCTCGGTCTACTCACCTCAGCTCAAGACATGACTCGCAGAGGGTGAATTTACAACTCCCCACTACAAATATTTCTGAATGCCCCATCTGATACTACTGGACACCGACTTGAAACCATACCTCTTATGGTGGACTCGGAAGTCGAATGTTTGCTGAGGAACCTTTTGTCAGAGCCGGTTTGCAACACTCATCTCTACGTGGATGCATCGCTACAAGGATGGGGTGCCCACCTCGACAACGAAGTGGCAGCAGGGAAGTGGTCGAGTCAGGATCAGAGTCTGCACATGAAAGCAGTGATCAACGCTCTACAACACTGGTCCAGCGTACTAAAGAATGCAAGACTCACGGTCCACACGGACAACTCCACAGTAGCGTTCTACATCAACAAACAAGGATCAACAAGATCAACAAGTCTGCAACAACTCAGCTTTCTCCTGTTCAGCATCGTCGACGACCTGAACATCTACATGAAGGCATGCCACATTCCAGGAGCAAAGAATGTCATAGCAGACGCCCTATCTCGTCCACTACAACCATCCCCAACGGAATGGATGTTACATCCAGAAGCGTTCCAGTTCGTCATACAGACAATAGGATCTCCACTGATAGACCTGTTTGCAACAAAGTTCAACAAGCAACTACCAACATTCATCTCACCGATTCCGGATCCTCAGGCATGGGCAACAGACGCTTTAAGCATCTCATAGGAAGGACTAAACGCCTATGCGTTTCCACCTCCAGCACTACTACCACAAGTAATACAGAAAATCAAGCAGACGACAATGCTGCAACTGATTTTGGTCGCTCCCTATTGGCCAGCGAGGGTATGGTTCCCGTCCTCATACAAGAACTCGGAAGTCCAACCCTGAAACTACCAGAGTGGTCGAACCTGCTCGTCCATCCACACACCAAGCAAGCTCACCACCAATTCCGACGGATTCTGCAAGCATTTAGCATGAGTCAGGATAAGGAAAAATACTTAATTGTCTGACTAAAATTGATATTTTATACTTATCCTGACTCATGAGGTCAGCCCTCCCAACCTCCCCTCTCAGGGCACTCTGGATATCCCTGTAAATCCGGGTGTCGGGCGTACATACGGAGAGAGTGACAAACATGGCTGGTCATGTGACCAAAAAGGGCGCCAAAGGAGGCAAGGGAGACTACTCGTGGGTGAGTGATGATTTTACGTCCGCTTTTTAGAAGGGAACTTCAAGGGATTTCAAGTGTTCCACTATCATTCGCAAAGAAGAAGGAGACAAGCATTTAGCATGAGTCAGGATAAGTATAAAATATCAATTTTAGTCAGAAAATTACATTATCCTCGGAATACATGGGTATTTCATTTTATAACTTCTTCTGGATAACAACTTCTTTCTTGTTTTCACCTGAAGTGTTGTTATAAGCAGTTAAGAAGTTGTTGATTGTAAAATGTTAAAAGTAAAGATTGTTTATTCCAGTTCATAACCAATGATATTGGAAAGAATGCATGTGATATAATGTTCTATGTATTGCAGCATGTGAATTGTTATTCCAAAGAATTGCAATACGCAATTCAGGCCAATGCCCATCTCTTGTGATAACATAATTTGTTATTCTGGGGCCAAAGTTTGTAAATACTCTTGATTAAAATTTGATACATAAGTAATACCTGAATGGATACATGTGTATGATGATGCAGTGTACAGTGTGCTGTACCTTATTGAATCAAGCCATGTATGTGTTGCAGGATAGAGGGCTTCGTGTCCAAGTGTGAACATGGCCGAGGAAGAGGGAGCTCCGACAGACAGTTCATCTTCATCAACAAGAGGCCGTGTGACTCAGCCAAGGTAGTGAAATTCAAATATCTGATTAATAGTTAATTTAAGTTCAGTTAAGGATGAAGCACAAGTAACCGAACATTCTATACAAACAGTGTACTAGGCAGGCGAGTATCAATGTTTTAACAAAAGTTCAGTTGTGCATGCATTTAAGATTCATTGTTTGATCGGCATTCTAGAAGTTGGTGAGGCAAGAATGAGACATACAACTTTATGGATGACAACTTCTTGTTTATTGCATAGAGCGACTATTCGATATAGATCTACATCAAAACTTCGCTCTATGCAATAAACCAGAAGTTGTGATCCATAAAGTTGTATGTCTCATTTAGGATACAGCCCAGGGGTGGAAATAACCCATTGCCCGACGTCCCAGTCCAGTGTTTTTTGTCTGTCGGGCAAGCAAATTCGTATATCACACTGTACCGGCGTCCAGTTGACTTTCCAATGTTAATTATGTTGTTTATTTAAAAAATTCAACAAGAAAACGGCCGGTATAGAGGAAAATTTTTCAGGGCAAGTGATTTCACATGTGCCACTGTACCGGAGTACACTAGCAATTTTAAAGTTATTTCCACCCCTGCAGCCTACAATTTACAATATACTAACAAAGTCAGATTTAAAATACAGTCTCATGATGACATTCCAGTTGTCCAAGCAGATCAATGAGGTGTACCACAGCTACAACCGCCATCAGTACCCCTTTGTGGTGTTGACCATCACTATGGACAAAGGTCAGTGAAACATTTTTTGCAACCTATTCAGCTGTATGGTTGTTACATAACAGAAACCGGATATCTTCAGAATTAAATATCATTTAGATAATGTGATATTGGCTTCTGAGAATTTGAAGCAAATGTTGAGATAAAGTATTTTTCAGTAATGGTTTCTTGAATCATTCATATGACTTCGAGATAGGTAATGTTCCTGCATGCATTTTAAATATACATGCGTACATACATACATACATACATACATACATACATACATACATACATACATACATACATACATACATACATACATACATACATACATACATACATACATACATACATACATACATACATTACATACATTACATACATACATACATTTGTATAGCGCTGATATCCAGTACAACTGCTCAAAGGTGCTTTGTTTTTCTTCCTCGATCATTGGATATCATCACAACAGCACATCATATTTTTCAATCTCAACTCCCTGTGGAGCATACAACTCTTGCTGCCTACTAGGCGCACCGAGTTAATGTGGCTTTTCCATCCTTACGAGGTACCCATTCACAGCTGGGTGGACTGGGACACATAGTCACGAAAAAGACTGGGCAGAATAGGTCTCCAGCACTTCATGCAGGTCTCCACTGGGGTTTCCATAGGCTCCCAGTACCCCATACTTTTCTCCATTCAAGGGTAAAATATTATCGCAGTGCTTTTTGTTCATCTGCAATGGGGTTTCCATGACAAAATAGGTCCTCGTACCCAATACTTGTCTCCCATGTGCATTCTTGGGTAAAATTGGTGTCAGTACCCCATATTTGTCTCCTGATGGCATTTGAGGGTAAATGTCACTGTCTACGGTGTTGCAGAGAGTGTTGATGTGAATGTGACCCCCGACAAGAGACAGCTCTTCCTTCAGGGGGAGAAACTCCTACTAGCAACACTGAAGGTGAGTGGGCTTTGATGTAGTTCCCTTAACCCCCTGAGGAATCTGGAGATGAATAGGGCCACAATAACGCAGTGCTTGTTGTAAAAGCCTGTAGAACTGTTGGCTGACCCAGACCTGGCTTATCACTGTTCATTAATGTTCATTATCTTGAAAACTGACAGTGCTATGACTGACAGATTTGGAAGGCATTCTTAACACTGAGACATTGTAACTCCCATTCTGTAACATAGACTTATGCCAGTCTTAGCCCTAAGTTTGCTTTGTTGAACATGGTCAGGTTAGATTATTTATAACTTCAGAGAATTCAGGGCCCCCCATTCCTAAAGCAATCTTAGCGCTATGATGACCCTAAACCTAAGTATGGGAGTTACGATCACCATACAGGGCTCGATTTAAGAGATGTTAACCTACTTGCACCAGGTGCAACCTAAGATAAAAACCTAGTTGCACCAGCCAAATTCCAGTTGCACTGCTTTTATTGCAATATGTAATGTAAGAAATATGGTATTCAATTATTTAGATGTTTTATTGAGAGTTTACCCACTCAAACATTTAGTTGCACCAGGTGCAAGCTCAGCTAATAGCTAGATTGCACTGTGTAATATTTGGGTTGCACCAGTGCAAGTAACAAAGTACTAAATCGAGCGCTGCCATAGCACTAAGATAACTTTGTGGAATGGGGCCTGCCTAGTTAGTCAGACTCTTCACGGTATACGAAAATCCTTTTACTACAGTTTGTACGGTGACTCTTGCCTGACTTTTGTCTAATGGCTGTGTATTGCAGACGTCACTGGTGAAGATGTTTGAGCCAACTACCAACATACTAAAGATCAACACCTTCATGACTCTCAACACTAGCAGAGGTACACAGAGCCTTATGTGGTAACACCCATACATTAACAGGGATGTTTGGTAGTCATAGTGATGCATCCTTTTCTTGCTGTGAGGGGCAGCACCTAGTTTCACAACGTACAACTGTCTTAAAAGTGTACAATCGCAAATCAAAAGTGCAATATTGTGTACTTTCGGTTTACTTCCCAAGAAAACGAAGCAGCCGGGATACCGAACCCAGTCAGAGAGGGTGGGTGTGCACTCAAGTGTAACGGCTGGTTCATTTGCAGATGCCCTCACGGCTAATTGTGTGTATATATAGAGACAGATGTTGGGTTTTGTAAATACATGCTCATTTTTTGTGTATAACATTTTGCAATCAACAGACATCATAACATGTCATGTGTTCAAAGTATCACACCTGCCTGTCTGTGTAATTACATAATGTGACAGAGGCCTAACTCGGGCCATAAATCAATGCATTTTGTTTATGGTGTATAGCCTGATTGGTGTTAAGTTGCATGTGGTCAGTGATCGCAGAGTTGTGTATTGAATATTGTCATTAGCAGACAGGCAGGCAGACACACAGGTGTCAATAAAACAAGACATTGAGTTTTGTCTGTGACAACACACATATGTATATCACAGTTAGAAATTCTGTCAACGCTAAATAATGACATTGCTTTTAAGTATCGAACTGAGAAAAAAATGACTCGGTAAGAAGAACGCGTGTGGTGAAATAGACAAATGAAATTATATAAACAGTTAATTTACGCCGCCTGTGAGATATCAACAAAACATTAGAAAAATAGCTCACACCAAAGCCTTCACCTAGGTATTCACGGACAACCCGCTTCCAAGCTGAGCGAACCTATTTCACTGGCGACGCGTGCTATGAGCCCAGCCCAGCTGTTGAAACCAGTTTTCCCCGAAAGCCGGGGAAAATTAGTGAATCGTTTGAACTCCGATTTGGCTGGGGTTTTCATCATCGCGTTATTTTTCAACTTTATAAGTTGAATTTGCATTTTGTGATTTGTTTCGGTAAGTCCATACCGAAGGTATCAGGATCTGCAAAGTTGTGTTTTACGTTGCATGTGACCTTTAAGATAGAGTACAGGTTATTGGTGGCTGAAAATCTCCACAGATTTAAAATGTCTGGTGTCAACATTGATTTTCACTGATCCATGCATATAACTTTCACTGTTATTTTGCCTTTCATCCTCAATGGAGACTTGTTTGCTGGATAATCAAGATTTGTTGTTCTCATGCTTTGACTTTTGAATTCACATTTAACAGTTCAAATTAGAATAAGAAGACATTGACGGATGACAAGTGAACTTAGGGCTATGAGTGGATTAGGTTCTCGACTTTGTGTGCTTATAATTAGGGGAGTGTGTTCTGGATGGGATTTAGCCTAAGGAAGTACCAGAATTTGTACTTCACTGAAAACTGTCATCCTAATAAAACATGCTATATTTTTACTGCTTGCATTATAAACTGATATGGTTATTTTCCTAGGTGACAAAGATGACGACAGTTCAGATACAGGGTCTGACAGGTAATATATCATTTGTATTCAGTGTTAATAAACATGCTGTATTTCAGTATAGAGCTATTTTACCTGCAGACCTGAATTATAAACAGAATTTTGAACTAGGTTTAGTTATACACAAGTCACTATTATGATTTCATACAGCTCATTGTGATCCTGAAGGTATAATGTTGAGTCAGATATACGAAAACACTAAATTGCTGTGTTACACCCAATTACTGTCACCAATCTTGAGTGGTAGAATTACAGATAAACTTCAAGAATGGGCTTGGTGTGAGCAAAGTTCCAGTCCTAGAAAGATTAAATCACCTTTCTCACCTGTTATCTCTAAATCTTTTCATATTCAGAAGTAACTGAAATGAACAAAACATATATAGAAAACTTTCTAAGTGCTTCTTCCTCCACTTAGAGCTTCTTCTGCCACTAAGTGGGTCTTCTTCCACCACTAAGTGCTTCTTCTTCCATTTAGTGCTTCTTCTGCCACTAAGTGCTCCTTCTTCCACTAACTACTTCTTCTCCCCTTAGTGCTTCTTCTGCCACTAAGTGCTTCTTCCACCACTAAGTGCTTCTTCCTCCACTTAGAGCTTCTTCCTCCACTAAATGCTTCTTCCTCCACTAAATGCTTCTTCCTCCACTGAGTGCTTCTTCCCACCACTAAGTGCTTCTTCTTCCATTTAGTGCTTCTTCTGCTCCACTAAGTGCTTCTTCTTCCACTTAGTGCTTCTTCTGCCACTAACTACTTCTTCTCCCCTTAGTGCTTCTTCTGCCACTAAGTGCTTCTTCCACCACTAAGTGCTTCTTCCTCCACTTAGAGCTTCTTACTCCACTAAATGCTTCTTCCTCCACTAAATGCTTCTTCCCTGCACTGAGTGCTTCTTCCACCACTAAGTGCTTCTTCTTCCATTTAGTGCTTCTTCTGCCACTAAGTGCTTCTTCTTCCACTTAGTGCTCCTTCTTCCACTAAGTGCTTCTTCCTCCACTTAGTGCTCCTTCTGCCACTAGCTACTTCTTCTCCCCTTAGTGCTTCTTCCTCCACTTAGAGCTTCTTCCTCCACTAAATGTTTCTTCCTCCACTAAGTGCTTCTTCCACCACTAAGTGCTTCTTCTTCCATTTAGTGCTTCTTCTGCCACTAAAGTGCTCCTTCTTCCACTAACTTCTTCTTCTTCTCCCCTTAGTGCTTCTTCTGCCACTAAGTGCTTCTTCCACCACTAAGTGCTTCTTCCTCCACTTAGAGCTTCTTACTCCACTCTGCTTCTTCCTCCACTAAATGCTTCTTCCTCCACTGAGTGCTTCTTCCACCACTAAGTGCTTCTTCCATTTAGTGCTTCTTCTGCCACTAAGTGCTTCTTCTTCCACTTAGTGCTTCTTCTGCCCACTAACTACTTCTTCTCCCCTTAGTGCTTCTTCTGCCACTAAGTGCTTCTTCCCACCACTAAGTGCTTCTTCCTCCACTTAGAGCTTCTTACTCCACTAAATGCTTCTTCCTCCACTAAATGCTTCTTCCTGCACTGAGTGCTTCTTCCACCACTAAGTGCTTCTTCTTCCATTTAGTGCTTCTTCTGCCACTAAGTGCTTCTTCTTCCACTTAGTGCTCCTTCTTCCACTAAGTGCTTCTTCCTCCACTTAGTGAGTGCTTCTTCCTCCACTTAGAGCTTCTTCCTCCACTAAATGTTTCTTCCTCCACTAAGTGCTTCTTCCTCCACTAAGTGCTTCTTCCACCACTAAGTGCTTCTTCTTCCATTTAGTGCTTCTTCTGCCACTAAGTGCTTCTTCTTCCACTTAGTGCTCCTTCTTCCACTTAGTGCCTCTTCCTCCACTTAGTGCTTCTTCCTCCATTAAATGCTTCTTCTTCAACTACATGCTTCTTACTCCACTTAGTGATTCTTCCTCCACTAAGTGCTGCTTCTCCACTAATTCCTTTCCTACCATGACTTGAGTAAATACTTGATTGTGATTGGTTAATTACAGTCAATCACACATATATAATCACATTATACAGGTCTCTGATTTTCCATTGCACATATTTTACGCTGGCAGAAAAATAATGTCACTGGACTGACAGTTAAAAAGTGGGGAAGTTTAATTTTCTCCAAACATGTACCCAAGAACTGGGAGTTACATGATATTCCAGCTTCCATGATACACATGAAAATAATGGTACATGTTATCTTTCCTTCTGGAATTGTACTAGTGTCTTATAAATAATCTGAACATGGTAAGAAAAGTGTAGTGAAGATGTATCGTGTGGACCCATCTGCTTCTTGGTGAAGAGGAACCTTGTCTGTTTGCAGATCATTGCAGGTGGTACCAGAAGGACCAAAAACAGGAAAGGTATGGATAATTAGACATTCTGCATTAAACTTTGAACAGGACTGGAATCCATCAGTAGTTATATTGGTAGGAAAGTAGCCTGTAACAGTGAGTGAGTTAAGTGTGTGAGTTGGGTTTTATGCAGCTTTTAGCAATATACTAGTAACATCACGGCGGGGGACACCAGAAATGGGCTTCACACATTGGGGAATCGAACCTGGGTCTTCGGCGTGGCAAGCGTCAGTATCGTGTATGGCCTCCATGGGTATCGATGATGGTGTTGGATCGTCTGTACATGGAATGAATTCGCTGGTTGATGAAGGCCATAGACACTTGGGTCCATACTCTGCGAAATGCCTGATCGAGTCCAGCTGCAGTTGTCGGCCTTTTTGGTTGGATGTCATTAAGTCTTCTTTAAATCTCGTCCCAAAGGTGTTCTATTGAACTTAAATCCAGACTGAGTGCAGGCCATGCTAGGGTTTGGATGCCATGTTGTCTTCTGAAGTCCAATGTTGTTCTGGCAGTGTGGGCATGAGCGTTGTCTTGCTGGAAGATGTGATTTCTGTAACGCCCAAAATGACTTGGATCAGACTGACTGCACCCCACACCATGATGCTTGGACCAACCCACGAGTCTCTGTCAACAATACACTCATTAGAAAACAGTTCCCCACGCCTTCGCCATACTCTCACTCTGCCATGGGCAGTCAAAACACAATATCATCTTTCATCTGAAAAAAGTACATGTCTCCAGTTTTGATAACGCCAATTTCAATGTTGAGTTGCCCATTGCAGTCAGTTTGGGCGATATGGTCCGTGACAGCAGAGGTTTCTTCAGACACTAATTGGGACTGTTGTGAGTCCCAATGGTCTGGCGTGCTGTTTGCGTCACTCTGGGGAAGCGATTCTGCAGCTGGTTGTGCACAATCTGTCGGTCTTGACGTTGTGATGTTACTGAAGGTCCACTGCGTCGACGGTCCTGGGTTCTGTTAGTGGCCTGATACAGCTCCTGCAGTTGGTAGATTGTCCTAACATGAACATTAAAATGATTGGCTGCAGCTGGCCGTCCCAAGGCTTGATTCCTCTGCACAAGAATCTGTCGGTTTAGGACTTCATTGGTAGGATTGTCACGATATACATGTGCATTTTCATTTTCACAAATGTCATACAGAACCTATCACCACATTTGCCTTTTTAGGTGCATTTGGTCGATATGCTTTTTCATCAGAAAACACACTGATTTTTGTAATAACTGTCAATTTGGATTGAAAATCATGTTAACAAAATGGTACAATCATAATAAAAACACCACCTTGTAAGAACAAAATTTTGCATTAGGTTTTGAAAGGCAATGTTTCTTTTGCAGTTCAGTATATTTTCCTGTGGCATGTTTTGTAATGGGGTCATTGGCTAATTTCTTGGGGCATCTGTATCCTTGCTATTGTCAAATGTTTTATATATTTGTTAGACATATGAATCTGTTGTTTCAGCCAACTCTCGTGAACACCCTGTCCAAACTAAAGCGGTCATTTTCCAGCGCTTTTGCAAAGGATGATGGGACAGGACACTTTCAGACTTCTAGTCCTGAACAATCAAAACGTGAGGCCACCTTCTGTAGACCTTGTACATCAAACATTGACCCTACAAAGTATGTTCAGATGTGGATACCAAACATCCTCTTCAGTACAAAACTGCCCTTGCATACAAAATGACTTTGGGAATGGCTTAAGGCAGCCATTTTGGTTTGCTTGAGTCTTGCAGAGTGAGTGAGTGAGTTTAGTTTTACGCCACTTTTAGCAATATTCCAGCAATATCACGGCTTAAGGCAGCCATTTTGGTTTGCTTGAGTCTTGCAGAGTGAGTGAGTGAGTTTAGTTTTACGCCACTTTTAGCAATATTCCAGCAATATCACGGCTTAAGGCAGCCATTTTGGTTTGCTTGAGTCTTGCAGAGTGAGTGAGCGAGTTTAGTTTTACGCCACTTTTAGCAATATTCCAGCAATATCACGGGGAATGGAACCATTTTGGCTTATACATTGTATGTATGTGGGTTTTCACTGCCATGGAACGCGGTCTTAACTACTCAGAGGTACTTTTACCCACCACCAGTGTTACAGAGACGTGTGAGTGCATGATGTGTATTACAAAGGTTGCTGGAGAACATAAGTGTGTATTCAGAATCTGTGTTGGTCTGTATTATTACAGGGGTGGAAATAACTTTAAAATTGCTAGTTTACTCTCGTACAGTGGCACATGTAAAATCACTTGCCCTGATAATTTTTCCACTATACCCGCCGTTTTTCTTGTTGATTTTTAAAAAACAACATAATTAACATTGGAATAACAACTGGACACCCGTTACAGTGTGATATACAAATTTGCTTGCCCGACAGAAAAACACTGGACTCAAGGCCGGGCAATGGGTTCTTTCCACCCCTGTATTAGATTATTTAATAATCGGCTCAGACAAAAATTTTTCCTTTAGTGTATCCTCATATCCACCTTATTATATAATAACACTAATTCACTAATCTGGAAATCTAATTCCTAAACCTTGGACACCCTAAACTGGGAACTATAATGCAGGACAGAGTTTGGTGCTGGAAGAAGACAATAATGTTTACTGTGCTTATATTTATGTCAGTTTTACTTTGTTTCAGTTTGTAGCAAAATTTAAGAATACAGAATAATAGCATACAAATGTTATTTGTCTATGAGGACCAATGTTATCTGATTTTCACATGTCCTCTGCACAATTGAGAAGTCTTGGGCTAACGGCCTTGCATGAATTCTTTTGACATTAGCATTCTGAATTGTAAACGGATCGAGTAAAGTACATGGTTTTATTCATTTCAGAGAGAAGACTTGACAAATGGACATTACCCCAAAGTCAAAGTCTCCCTGCAAAGTTCAAATCTGAGGAAACCTCACCTGGTAAATCTTCTCTTTCAAAGTTTCTGTGCAAACAATCCACAAACTTGGGAGAATCTGATTCTGTGATAGACTCCGACTCAGGGATGACAGAATCCCCCAGCAAACACTCATCTGCATTATCTCGGAAAACAGGAGCTGATCATTTGTTTTCATCTCCAGTGAGTGCAGAAAGAGGCTCACATGTTGACAGTTTTTTATCAGATTTTAAACAGAAGTGCACCAAGGATGCAACAAACAGTGAATGTGGATCCAGTCAATCCTCAGATTGTGTTATTGTTGTTCCGGAACTGATCCCATCTCCCCAAGGTAGTGACTCCACATTCTGTAGCCAAGAATCCAAAACAGACAGCTTTGCTGTACCAGACACAGATCTGGACTATATTCAGTGTGAGGAAGACACAGCTGATGAGGGCATGTCATCTCTGAAAACTTCAAAACATTCAAGTCCAAATATGGTAAACCTTGAGGAAATGTCTAAATCCTCTGTGTTAAAGAAGACAAGATTAAAAGGTGATACATGTGAACTAGAGGATGTTGTAGATGTAGAGGAGGAGGCATCACGCTGGGCTGCTGCAGGTGTTTCAGGAGAAGCTTCACGGGAGAGTCCAGATGATACACTACTACCTCAGGAATGTCAGGTTACCCTGCTGGAGTTTGTGAGTACCATAGTCTTGTTAGGATAATCTGTAGATTCTTAATATCATCTGACCTGCTACGTCATTGATGTTGATATGTCAGTTGATTTCATTTCACCATTCCTTCTTTCAGAAGCTGATATTTGTATCTGAATAGACTTAGTGTCTGAATGATTGTCTTGTAAGATTCTTCAAGTGCACAGCATACCCTCTAAACAAAGAGACACAGTGGAAAGTTGAAGGATTAAAATTGACTCTAGCCCAGCATCCCAGCCCAGGATTCTTAATGTTAAAGGTATCCTAAGGACTTGTGCAATGTTAGACTTTGTCTTTTGAAAAGAATAGGTATTCTTTGACTTCTATTGAGTAGATTATATCATCTGTACATATAATACTTATAGGTCAAATAAGCTAAACTGTGGATTGGGTATTGAGTGTTTTGCTCCAGGATGAGAAAGAAGAGGTTCACAAAAGAGAGAGAAGACTTCCGTTTTCCTTCAGTGCTTTCAAGGCGAGGAAACAGGCTCTGAATGAAACAAGCCATGATGGTTGGTAATACATATTTGCAACTGTCCTAAAGAGAGTGTCATTATTTAGTATTAACCTGTCTGCTACAAATGTGTGTCTTGACTGGTATGAAGTCTTCTTTATAAAGAAGCATAAGACTCTCAACTCATTAGAAGTTGCTGTAGCCAAAATGGAAACTAAAAAAATGAAATGGTCAACTGAATTGTAATTACTTGTGTGTGTTACTGTAGATTATTCAGTGCCGGTGTCCTGATGTCAGTGATGTGACTGTACAAGAAGTAGCTGACTTATTATTTCATGCTCTATTTTCACAGTACACAGATACTTGTTTGATATTTATGTTATACATCCAGTCAGCTCTGCTATGGGTTGTAAAGCATGTGCAGTTGTGGGTAGATTTTTTCCAGCTGTCTGCAATACTTGAGACATATTTGTTTGTTTATTTGTTGTTGTAGTACTTCAGGTGTATGACTGTATGACAAGACAAGCTAAATCTAGTAAATGTCATCATGAGCATCGATCTGTGCAATACGACTGACATTCATCACCGAGTCACAGAGCCTGACCACCCAGTCCATTATCCAACTTTTTCAGCTTTTAAAGAGTAATAACCAGTAGATGTCACATGATCTCACCCAAGTGCTATCTTCTATAGGAGTCCATTTTGATTTATAATATCAGTGAACAGCCCAAGGATTGTGTTGTCCTTTTTCCTTATGGGAACCCCACACGAGCTGCAGGAGTTATCTCCCCTTGCAAAAGACCATCGTCCAGATCACACACAGTAACAATCAGGGACATTTTTTCTGAGCATGGGGCACTATATTGACAAATTAAGTGTGTATTGACACAAACTGTATGCAGTGTAAACCTGTTGTACAAAAACCTTCTCTTTTTTCATAGGAAATGGTGATACAGATTTCAGCCGCAGTTTCCGAGCCAAGATTTCCCCCCAGGACAACAGGTCTGCTGAAGAGGAGCTCCAGAGAGAAATAACGTTAGTTTATCTTCTGCTAGATGTGTTTGAGAGGGGGCTTAAATACCCTGGCATGTGATTAATGCTGTAAAGTACCTGATTATGACTTGTGAATCCAAGGCCACCATACTGAGGCTGAAAGTTATTAGGTAAGACCTCTAAATTCAAACTGCTCAAGTAAAGTGCTGATAGCAAAATGATTGTAAACATTGGGATTTAGTGGCACAAAGGGTGAACCACTGACTATTCCTGCCTAGGATCCAGCAACGGATGTGGTTTAAACATAGCTGAAAGATTAGTGCACATATGTAGCGAAATGCTAGTCTGTCTCACAGTCCCTGAACCAGATTATTTTCCCTTTCGCCAAGTCCTTCCTGCAACGCAAAGGCCCTAATGGCTGGAGCCTGGAAGAGCTAAGAGCCTCGATGTTTGAGTTGTGTTGCACATTGGAATTGGCTTATAATGTTGTTGATCCATTACTGTACTCTGTGGCAGGGCTTTGTTCAATTTTGGCATGACAAGAATTACATTAGAAATAATAATCATAAAGTTTTTTCTGTCTGATTTGGTTGCAGGAAAGACATGTTTGGCAAGATGGAGATCATCGGCCAGGTGAGACATACAGAGCTGTTGTCACTACAGTCTGTATTATACACTAGGTTCCACCATCATTCCATCTTCACATTGTATGTGAATACATGTATCAGATATACAGTGTAGTAGTAACATGTGTCTGTGTTTACTTCACTAATAACACAAGAGGACCTGTGGAGATCCTCAGTAACCAGGTGTAGTGACATGTGTCTGTGTTTACTTCACTAATAACATAAGGGGACCAGTGAAGATCTGGGTTAGAATTGATCTTCAGTAACCCAGGTGTAGTGACATGTGTCTGTGTTTACTTCACTAATAACATAAGGGGACCAGTGAAGATCTGGGTTAGAATTGATCTTCAGTAACCCAGATGTAGTGACATGTGTCTGTGTTTACTTCACTAATAACATAAGGGGACCAGTGAAGATCTGGGTTAGAATTGATCTTCAGTAACCCAGGTGTAGTGACATGTGTCTGTGTTTACTTCACTAATAACATAAGAGGACCAGTGAAGATCCGGGTTAGAATTGATCTTCAGTAACCCAGGTGTAGTGACATGTGTCTGTGTTTACTTCACTAATAACATAAGAGGACCAGTGAAGATCCGGGTTAGAATTGATCTTCAGTAACCCAGGTGTAGTGTAGTGTTTACTTCACTAATAACATAAGAGGACCAGTGAAGATCCGGTTAGAATTGATCTTCAGTAACCCAGGTGTAGTGACCATGTGTCTGTGTTTACTTCACTAATAACATAAGGGGACCCGTGAAGATCCGGGTTAGAATTGATCTTCAGTAACCCAGGTGTAGTGACATGTGTCTGTGTTTACTTCACTAATAACATAAGAGGACCAGTGAAGATCCGGGTTAGAATTGATCTTCAGTAACCCAGGTGTAGTGACATGTGTCTGTGTTTACATCACTAATAACATAAGAGGACCAGTGAAGATCCGGGTTAGAATTGATCTTCAGTAACCCAGGTGTAGTGACGTGTCTGTGTTTACTTCACTAATAACATAAGGGGACGAGTGAAGATCTGGGTTAGAATTGATCTTCAGTACCCAGGTGTAGTGACGCGTGTCTGTGTTTACTTCACTAATAACATAAGGGGACCAGTGAAGATCTGGGTTAGAATTGATCTTCAGTACCCAGGTGTAGTGACACGTGTATGTGTTTACTTCACTAATAACATAAGAGGACCCGTGAAGATCCGGGTAAGAACTGATCTTCAGTAACCCAGGTGTAGTTAAATGTGTCTGTGTGTTTACATCACTAATAATATAAGAGGACCGTGAAGATCCGGTTAAGAACTGATCTTCAGTAACCCATGTTTGTCGTAAGAGGCGTCTAACGGGATCGGGTGGTCAGGCTCGCTGACTTGGTTGACACATGTTATCATATCCCACTTTTGTAGATTGATGCTCATGCTGTTAATCACTGGATTGTCTGGTCCAGACTCGATTATTTACAGACTGCTGCCATACAGCTGGAATATTGCTGAATGCAGTGTAAAATTAAACTCACTGAGTAAAATGAGGTTATTTATGATTCATGGAAGTCAAACTAGTACTACTCTGTTCATGGAATTTGTGATCCTGAACAGATGTTCCAATTTGTGATCCTTAAGCTCTTGTTTTCTGAAAAGACTCTTGGTCAAATATATTGATGCTAGGTTTGGGATTACTTTTGGCTAATCTCAATAGGGACAGTTAATCCATAATTCATTATCAACTTTTAGATTGTTCTGTGAGTGACCTATCAGGGGCACCTGTCAACTTTGTTCCAGTTTAACCTGGGCTTCATCCTGGCCAAGCATGGGGAGGACTTGTTCATTGTGGATCAGCATGCGACTGATGAGAAGTACAACTTTGAGATGTTACAGAGACATACAGTCATACAGAGTCAGAAGCTTATACTGTGAGTGCTCATCACTCACACACACACTCACTTCAGCGTGAATGCGTGCACTCACACACTCACACAATAACTCGATCACTCTATCCCTCACTTGATGGTCATGATATCATGATCTTGATGGTAGAACATACTTTTTCAGTGCCTACCTTTTTTGGCTTCAATATTATAGAATACCTCACTCACTCACTCACTCACTCACTCACTCACTCACTCACTCACTCACTCACTCACTCACTCACTCACTCACTCACTCACTCACTCACTCACTCACTCACTCACTCACTCGACATCAAATACTTGAATGGTAGAACATAATTGTTTTATTAAGTGCTTACCGTTTTTGTTTCACAATTTTTAGAATATATCTGAAAAAATATCTTTGAAATTGGTGATTGCAGTCCCCAAAACCTGGAGCTGACCGCCAGCAATGAGACTATCCTGATAGACAACCTAGACATCTTCAGGAAGAATGGCTTTGACTTTGTCATTGATGAAACAGGTTGGGTGGAGTCTGTTGGCCAAACTCAGGGAACTATTTGTACTCCATATCCTGTGATGGCCTGCTTATCCTCGTTTTAATGCCACTTTGATTGTAATTGATGTTTGGAGAATGTTCATATATTTAAAAATATAGTGTATTGTCTACATAAATGCAAAAAGTATTAAAGGCTGTTAATAATACACAAACTGTTTTGACAAATGAAACCATGGCAACAAGAATGGAAGTTGAATATATGAAAGTCTTGTTACAGCCCCTCCCACCAGCAGAGTGAAACTGACCTCAACGCCAGTCAGTAAAAACTGGAACTTTGGCAAAGATGGTGAGAACTACTTGCATTATGTTGACATGGGTATGATTATATGTTTGAAAGGGGTAAAGTCCATGATGATGATGACTATTGGAAATTTGCCAGAAGTGGGAGGGGGTTCTGAAGTCCAGGAGCCATTCTGGACATTTTATTATTCGGTGATTTTTGGTGAGAGACTGAGGATCAGAACTTCAGTTTATAGAGCAGATGTTTGCAAAATTCTTGTCTCAAAACCATGGTTATGAATGAAACTATGAATAGTATTTGAGGTAGTATTTGACATGCATTGCTTTTCTGGGTCTGGGAACAGTTTGTTATTTTAATCAGAGGTCTGATTACCAGGGATAGTGGCAATGCAAAATGCCTCCAACTAATTGTTTTTAGGATAGCCATCCACAAGTGCTTGTTATTAAAGATAACACACTAAACAGCCTTGTCTCCTTGCAGACATAGAAGAACTCATCTTCATGCTGACAGACTCACCAGTAAGTACACTTGTCTTTAGGGACCGTGTAGTCATTTCAGGCATCTTGTATGTGACCAAAAAATAGAAAGTAGTACATATAGATATTCCAATCTTTAGCGGCGGGGGACATTGCCATATCAGTGGCAAACACTTGTTTTGTACATAAATTTTAGGGGGGGTCATTCACATTGTACATGCTTCTCTATAAAAATCATCATCAGCCCCTTAGCCATAAATTATGAACGGTCCCTTAGTTCCTGTTCTCAACTGGAAAACTGATGCCAGGACTTCCATTGAATGAGGATTGATGACACTCCAAGGGGAGACAACCTGAATATAATCCCCAGTGTTTTGGCAATCAGTGGTCTATGTACCGTAGGTATCTGCATATATGATGCTGTGACAATGAAAGATATGTCACTAGGATCTGAAGGTATTTTCAACTGTAATGCTTAAGTTTTGTCTCATATTCAAATTGTCTGTAGCGGAGACTGATATCAAGACTCACTCACTCACTCTACCCTCCAGGGTGTCATGTGTCGGCCGTCACGAGTCAGGATGATGTTTGCCTCAAGGGCCTGTCGGAAGTCCATCATGATTGGAACAGCTCTCAATAAAGCAGAAATGAAAAAGGTCAGAATAAAAGTCTAACTATAAAAAAGTGGCAGTTGTCTGAACTCACATTGTCAAAATGGTTGTGACATGAATGTTTAATGTTTAAGAAAAATGTACTTCTAGAATGCCAATCAAACAGCTATAAATCTGGTTATTGTGTGTAAACATGATTTTTTCATTGGTGTTTTGGAAAGTTTTTGAGGTGAAGAATTTTAAAATCTGTTGATTACCATACTTTCAGAAAGGTAATTTATAATCTGTGTTCATGGCAAATTCTCTTCAGTGAAACCATACTTGAAACATTAATTCCTGTAGCCATAGCCATATAGCAAACCGTCTTTTCAGGAAATGGGGTTTCAAATTTAATGTGAATATTTTATGGTTGACACTCAACTTTCAAGATGTGGGAGAAAAATTGTTTCCTTGATTGTTTCAGCTGCTGTGCCATATGAGTGATATTGAGCAGCCATGGGTAGGTTTTTAATTCTGTTCTGGATTTATTTCTCCAAGATTTGACAATGTCTTCTCGCCTTAGCTCTTCTGAAGCCTACATCCGTGTCAAGTGATTGATGTACATGGAGCTTTTCAAACAAGACTAAACAGTTGTAATGCAGAATTGTGTATTACTGGGTAATTTCACTGGAAATCTTAAGCCTTTAATTACCTTTCAAGATTTATCTTCTAAATTAATTACAATGAAGATAAAAACTTTTGAAATGAGAACAAGTGCTGTGTTATAACTGTTATACTTTTCAAAGCCCAATTAGAATAAACTCACTCACTCACAAGTGAAAATTCAGAGCATTCCTGAAAATGCTACTCTGTCTCATAATTTGAAAAAAAGTTTGAATTCAAACTATGGATTAGCTGTGACATCGAGGTTTTTAGAAAATTGAAGAGAAATAAAATTCTTGGCAAGTGATAATGATTGAGAAGAAAAATGTATCCTAACATTGCCAAACAACATAATATTCATATAAAATGTGTCCTGTAGGTCTGATGGATTAATAATTGACTTATGGAGTCCTTATGATGCTAATTATCCTCGTTTCAGAACTGCCCCCATGGTCGTCCAACAATGAGGCATCTGTTCAATCTCAACATGCTGCCAAAATGATCGTTTCCAGTGCAGCTGTTGATGTTCGCTCAAGAGTTGTCTCCCTTGAATCAGTGATCTTTTAGCAAGGCGCACCTTAACAGTGTGAGAAAATCAGAATCATTAAACAGACATTATCTGTGAAAGTTTAATGACAAGAAGCTGTAAATAAAGACTTTTTAAATCTGCTGAATGTTGTCTAATCTTCAAGAAACATGCACCATGTGGAAATCATATTTTCTTGTTTGGCACCATCCCACGTCTCAAATGGATTGTACGTAGGAGAGCTCAGTACATCGTTAGTTGACGCAGTGCATCACATTAGTAGAATCTGGTTGTGTAAACAAGATATAGTCATCTGGGCAGGCAATGTCCCCGAACATTGGGGCTTCATCGTTGCTATTAATTAAAATCTGATAACTTGGAACAGATTATAAAGAAATTTTTATTTTTGGGGATCATACTAAGAATTTTTCTCAGTTCTGATGCATGTAATGCAGAAATGCCAATCATCATTTTAGTAGAATCAGTACCAAAAATTACAAGTTCCACCAGGATATTAAAGTGATATGTATTGCATAATTTATCTAAATGACTCTGACTTGTTTGTGATGTCGCCATATATAGTAAATCAGTGTTGTTCTCATGTATGTTAATTCCGGATTGTTGCACCATATTAGCGCCGTGTTGCATGGCAAGGTTAGGAGACACAGGTTTCAATTACACTGTGCAGCAGGACCAGCTATGCATCATGCGAGAGAGTAGTGACACTCAGAAGGATGTGATGACAATTTGAGGGGGAGTCTCAGTCCCTGTACCACATTCTCCCTTCTGACCAGCCCTTACTGCAATAGCAATGCTAAAGTCCTACATGAAGCAATTCTTCAAACTCATTTAGAAGTCGGTTTAGTAATACAAGACAAACCGTATGGATAACAACTTCTGTATTTATTTGGCACGACGTTTCCGGGCTACTTCTTGTCCCTTCTTCAGGTGGATAATGAAAATAGTGAAAAGGAAGCAAGTCTAGATTTCCTCAGATTTAGAATCTCCCATCTCACTGGGGCTTCTTTTCAATTTAAAAAGAACTAATTGTTTCTCTCAAAGTTATATAGATTCAGTCTTGGGGGACAAATACACCTATTGCCCTCCTGCTTGTCTAAAATTACCTCCTGACTGTAAGATTGTATTATATGTAATGTTATATTCTGCTGCAATGGCTGAGCAGGCTACATAGCTCACCTGGTGTGCTGGCAATTAGGTGCCTCACTGTGTGTTTTGGTTTGAATCCCAGGTGAGACCCAACCCCAAAAAGTACGAGATCTGTACAGAACTGAGGAAGTGTAATCCCATATATGTCATGTTTGACCACTTTCTAAAATGCTTTGTATAGTAATGACCAACATTTGACCAACAGTTTGAACTTTGTACAGACTGACACCCCATGCAGCCACTTGTGCTATAGGTGAATATCAATTTCACTTCAAATTTTTAATGTTTGAGATAATCATCTGATCCGAGTTCTTAAGTATCTGTGTTTGGGGTTGACATCTCTGGTGTTTTCTTCAGTGTCTACCAAAGGTAACGTAGCATGATAAAGGACCTGTGGAGATTCTAGGACAGAATAGATCCTTAGTGCCCTCCATGATTGACTGAAAAGCCATATTACATGAGGGTTGACTGGGGAGATCATATGTAATGGTTGTTATTGTGAATATTGTATACATTCAACCATGGTTTAATCAGGACCAGATAAAAAGCTGCAGTAGACCAGTGGACACTCTCAAAAAGGTCAGTTGCACAATGTATGGAAAGAATGACTATTAGATTCAGAGTGTTGTCAGAGATTTTGACATGTCCTTTCCATTTTGTACTCTTTGTATCGTGGTGTGTCCGCCTACTGTGTGAGGGAAGCTGCAGTTGATGAAGGTCTCTGACAATAACCACTTTGGTTCAGCTCATGAGGAAGGAGCTGACAAACCTAAAACCAGAGTGAACCAAGATCTGAAGTCATGCTCATACGTTTCTGGTGCGACTATGTGATGCAACACTGTTATCAGGATCAACTGAAGTCATGCTCAAGTTTCTGGTGCGACTATGTGATGCAACACTGTTATCAGGATCAACTGGGCTACTGTGCCCTTCCATTTTATGCAGGGCATGTTACCTATCAGAATGGAAATGGCAAACAGCTCTTGCATAGAGGTGTATTATTCTCATCTGACAACTGTTTGTTAAAAATTTTCAGGGCTACTGTTTCACCCTCCTGAGTTAATTATTCACCAGATCAGACTGATGATAAAGTCCAGATGCACAAGAATGAAAATAACTGTCCATCCAGTGATTCACCATTAAACACAGAATTATTCATGATTCACATTTTATTCGACTGATTGTATGTACAGATTCTATGTACAAGTGCAAGCGCCAGGGCCACTAAAGCATCACACAGTTTAACAATATGTCCGCCTAGGGCTCGGCACCACTGTCAACAAAGTGCGTATCCAACAACAGCTGCTAAACACTAGCAAGAAGCGGCACAGAACAACAATACAGATCCCAGTCTTCGTATTTCTGAGTATTGATGGTGCATGATTTGATGATTCCAATGGTATGAGGATAGTGATTAGACAATGGTGATTTTGATCTCCAAACATGGGCTACATGTGCAGTAGAAACAAGTGTTTGTTCACACTGGACGATAAAATGTTTCAGATTTGTACAATTTTTGAATTTTATTCTTTGCCCTTCTATGGATGATAAGTAAAAACGACATTTCCTTCTTTCCTCTTAATGAAATAATCATTCGAAATATAAGAGGAAAATTGGAATGGTTCCAAGTATGAAAATGCCATTTATGAAATTTTACAAATGAATGTTCTTTTGAATATCTACAAGTCCGACCACATATACAACAAATTTGTTTCCCCCTGAAAACAGTCTTGTATACATAGATATATAAAACCTGTAGTGTTCCCATGAGATTCTCAAAATCTTTGGTCTCATTTTCCATTTTTGTTTCATTTTTCTTTTTAGAAAAAAAATAATGAAATGTTCCTCATAATATATATATAACTAGGCTCTCTGAGAATAAAATTTTCTTGAGAATGTTAAAATTGTCCATGTAGCTTGCAAAACAAATAACATGGAACGTATGAAGCAGCATCCTGAGAGGGCAACCTAAACTCAATCATCAGCACCACCAGGAAAATAAATTAGAGTCCCATCAGACTTTAGTAACAAATGGCACAATTTGTTGTCCAGCAACAGTCACAAGTGCCTTTAAAACAAGTTCCACAGCACTTTTTGTTTTCCAGTACAAACATACTGGCAATGTCTTTGTCACTCACAAGTTTGAAGTGTTCATAATGACACAGTCTTATAGAGTTTTATAGCACAGGCATTCTCACTAGAGATCAGTCTGGACACGTAGTGTCTGCCATTTTGCAGGGGGGGTAACTCCTTTAAATGGGAGATAACTCCAGCACTGAGACATTATGTCCGACTGCCATTTTAGAAGATACTGTCCCTCCTTCTTCAATGTTTATCACACACATTACAACTTCAATCTGATTCTTGACCAACACTAGCAAGGACATCTTCAAGCGTCTACAACAGATCCTGCACAACACTCAAAGCCGGACAATATCCTCCATAATACACCTTGCAGTGTAACAACCACGGGGCAGTCGGCAGCCATTTTAAGTACCAGTATGAAAATGATTCACAAAGGAACTAGGCTGACGTCTTTCTCTTTGTTTGTCATAAACCAGCCTGAGCCCTGGAAAAGAAAAGGGACAATAAATAACCTTGCCATACATACTTTAAATATAACATTGTCAAGAGGAAAACATTCAATAATGATATTAACCATCACTATTCAAGAACATATTAACATGTACTGGATACACCCACTGCCTTCTAATTCATTCAGTCATATACTGTACAAGGAGCTAAGAATGTCAGGGGTGGTCGGGTAGCCTAGTGGTTAAAGCGTTTGCTCGTCACCCCGAAGACCCGGGTTCGATTCCCCACATGGGTACAATGTGTGAAGCCCATTTCTGGTGTCCCCAGCCGTGATATAGCTGGAATATTGTTAAATGCGGCGAAAAACTGAACTCACTCACTCACTCACTCACTAAGAATGTCAGAGTACACACATTGATGAGCAATATTTATGTACTGCCATGAGCATTTTCATGACATGGATATGGCAAATTATTAATATGCATTTATTATTATCATAATGAATAATTGCCTCCATTGATTTTATCTGAAAGTGGAGCAAACCTTTGTCAGGCGTCACACAATACAAGCTAACTTGAAGCTTGCTGTAAACTAGGATATTAACTATGCCGAATATCTGTTAACTGAGAGTTGTCACAGTGGGAAACTTACTTGAGTGTCTTGTGTCTCTCCTTGTCATAGCTGTTTTCTGGGGGCTCGCACTCATATGATGCCAGTGATAGCTCTACAGAGAGACAAAAATACAATAACTCAATAATGCAATACAGTATTGAATGTTGCAAAAAGCATTATTAAACTTTTGCACATTATCTTAGCATTTTTGTTTAATCTTGGCAGTTTTCTTATTTCTTAAAAAAAAGAAAAAAATGAACAAAATTTTTTAATTCAAATTAAAACTGAATTGAATTTAAATGAATTTTACTTACTTGTTTCTGAGAAAACTGGGGATGTCAGCACGTAATTCAACACTTTGTTGTTCTTCTCAAAAGGGCACTGCAAGAATGAGACAATGAAACATGAAAATACAAGTCATAATGTAATAAATGGTATGGTTTAGCGGTGCTTGGTTATATATGCAGTAGGGGCAGTGGGGTAATCTAGTGGTTAAAGCGTTGGCTCGTCACTCCGAAAACCCGGGTTCGAATCCCCACATGGGTACAATGAGTGAAGCCCATTTCTGGTGTCCCCTACCGTGATATTGCTGGAATATTGCTAAAAGCAGCGTAAACCAAACTCAGTCAGTCAGTCAGTATATACGCAGTATATCCTAGTCAGAATTCTTACATGGAAACATTGCAAGGTGTGGCCTCATTTGAAGATGTTTTAATATACATGTCATTTTACTGCATGTGTCATTTTACAACCCTGAACATGAATAAATATACTTGTTTCTTACCTCAACTTGCTGCCAAGCCATGATATCAGAGATCTGCTTTGCAACCTGCCAGAATTTCTAAAAACAAAACAAAAACGAACTTAAAATTAATGTCATTGTATGTGTACATTTCTTGCTTATAATTAACATATAATCACTTAAAATCATTCAACTATGTTTAACAGATATTAACATATTGATAAGTTTTAGGAATTTTTTTAATGAAATGGTAGCAAACTTGGTGTCTAAAATAATTTAGACAATTTCACTGAAATTGCCAGAATGTTTTTTCTCTGACATTCCTGCTTACCTCAAAGTTGATGTTTGTGTTGGACAGCCTGCTCAAGCAGCCTTCATTGAGGAAATACAGATCTTTGACAAACAGGCTGAAGAAGGGGATGACGATCTGGGGAAAAACACGAAACTTAATTAAAATGCATCAAAATAATTGAATTCAAACATTCATATTTTATAAAATCCTTTGAAGAGATTATCACTGCTTAGACAAATGACAAAAAATGGTTTTAGAATTAATCTTAACTATAAGACCTTTCAAAACTGACAGTTTCCAGCAAGTTATAAATAGTGATAGTGTTAGTTCATCTTATTCGCTTCTTTAAAATACAGAGTTGTTGTTTAGACTGAGTTACCTTTCCCTGGTCATCGACTGCCCCCTGTGAGCGCCACATTGCCGCCTTGAGACATGATCGGTAACTGCCGGAGTTGTTTGAGGGGTCCATCTGATGCTCCAAGATAAGGAACTTGGCTGTGTTCACCTTAGCCCACTGGAGACAGAATAACAAGACATAAGTATTGATGTATGTAAAGGAGTCTGTTTTATTAGTTTAACATGGGAAACATAAATATACAAATGTACTTAAATGTGTATAATAGTGGAAAATTAACAGATTTAATATAAAATATTTACTTAATCATGGGTACAGATAAACTTCATTTTATATAAATGTGAGATTTCCCAGCAGTAATAATATTTTCTAGAACATTGGGACTGACAAATATGACTTGATACAGTTTATACAGGTATTTGAGCAACTTGAGCAACTTACCGTCTTTTTTAATCTTGCAACAGGGCTCATGTTCATGCCAGCTGAAAAAATTGTAAAAAATGTTTTAATCATGAAACCTGCCACATATTTCTACAGGATATCTAAGGCTGCTATTAGCAATAGACATTCACTCCTTACTGTAAGGGACAGTGTTGATTTTCAGTGGTTAACACTTTTGGACACTTGTAATAGTTTTGCTATGATGCTTTTCAGAGTATCATTTCTCATTCGTATTACAGAATTTGGATAACTGAAATGTGTTTTCAGTGGTTAACCTATGATTGCCATTAAGGAGTTGAATGATTGCCATTATTGAAGTTGCCGATGTTGATGCACTCCTTGGCCACGTCAATGAAGTACTCAATCATTTTAACTCGGTTCTTCTTCTTCAAATGCTGAAAAGGTGAACAAATAAATCAGTAATTAGGCAAATAGGTAATAAATTAAGTACATATGTAAATAATCGAAGGGAATTCTTTTTAAATTATGGAATTACAATGACGAAGCATATGACTTTATGGATAACAACTTCTTGTTTATTGCAAAGAGCTACGTTTTGGTGTAGATTCTGACACTGTTATCAAGCTAAAAGCTCTATGTAATAAACAAGAAGTTATCGTATTCTTCATTATTGACTCATCAACTTCTAGAATGCTCATTAACCAATCAAGGAAGTACACTTCACCGATATCGATGTCATGATATACTTACTGAGCATATTTCTGACGCCACGAGGTAGCTGAGTCGGTTGAACCACTGAACATACGCCTCCAAGTTGGTTGTCTTTTTCATGTCACGGAATGTTGTCTGCAATAAAACAGATGTCATGTGAAACAACCCAATGGTATTTTCATAACTGAAGTAGGAAACTGAAACTGAGTTATCTCCCCTGAATATTGCATTTCTCCACAATTGTGCTTTAAATCTTTCCATGATATTTCTGTACCTTTTTTTCTATCCCTCCTGGTTAAAGAAATAAAATATTTACATTAGACTATAAGATACCTTTGCAGTAATGTGTAAGAATTAGCTTTAGAAACACTGTAGTTACCTCGCCATCAATAACTTCTTTTGAGAATGCTTGGACAAATTCTTCAGCGCCAATCATACTCAAACGTTCCTGAAAAGTAATAATTTTCTGTAAGCAATTTGAATATTTTTGCATAAAAATTTTGATTAGTACTTTTTAAAGAAGTGCTTTTGTAAAAAAGTTGTGTTGGAAGAAGTGAAATTCTTTCATTTACAGTATTTTAATTACATAATTTCTTGCCAACGTACCAGTTCAACATGCGTTAGTTGTTGAGCTAAGACGAGTGGGCTGGGGCACACCTCCATGATGTCGGTGGTGGGGACAACCTGGGTCTGCGATTTCTGCATGGCCTCACTGGTCAGTTTAGCCAGGACATCTTCAAACTTCTGCAACCGAGACAACTGGAACAGAAAAAAAATAATTAATAAAAATAAAATACTAAATGTTTTTTGTAAGTACTGCATATTACAGTATATCCATCATGCAGTCTCGTAAGGATGCATATCCATAGCAACAGAGTGTGATGTTAACAGGCAATTAAAACCAGGATGTTTATTGAAGAAAGTATAAGTGGTTAGTCATCATGGTTTAAATTCATTATGACGTCATTAGCATAAATGTGAGGTCCTGTGACTTCCCACTGCCCATTTATGATACACGGAAAGGCACATTGTATCGTCACATCAGGAAATATAGTTTTAGCTTTGTGTCCATTTATGACAATCTAAAACAAATTTATAAATAGATCAAGGAAATTACAATTACCGGTACATCATACTGTACACAAGTAAACAATATCAAAACATATCCAAATAAGATCTGATTTAAGATTGTTTATTTTTATAGTTTTGGTAATTATGAAACTTGTAACTTTAAACCCCAAATTCTTTCATTACAAACATCAAAAGCAGAAAATTTGGATAACTAAAATATTGGTTAGCACAAGATTGGTAAGACTTACTGTAAGTCATAGAATGTTTTTACTACACATAGCATACAATCTATACTGGTCTTAGTTTGCATTAGATCTCAAGACAACCCCTAACAGAGATCAGAGCTGATGCCAAAGGTAAAAGATGCCTGTCTGAGAAACATGGCACTGGAATTATCCCTTATCCTCAGTGGGAAGTGTCCCTGCTGGTACCACCAAATAATTCCAGACAAACTTGCTGCTTATCAATCTGATTTACTGCATTGGGTTTGGCACTGGCCAAGTTTGGATCAGCCTGATAATGGAATAAGGTCAGAAATGGATTTCTGTAGAAAATATCTCACAGCAGCGAAATATAATGGCCAAGCTATTTTGTACATGAAACGCCATCAATTATTTGAAAATTGGATTTACTACAAACCAAAATTTGATAAATTCACTTTCAAATGTGTAATTTAAATGAGGGTCATACTTTTACGATTCACAGACTTTTGAAAAAGTAAGAAGTTTTGAAGGTTAAAATATGAATGTGTTTGGATAGCATTCCTTTTTTTCTCATTTTCATGCCATTATTTGTCATGATTGAACTTTGGACGGAAGCATTTGAAATGTCTAGCATAGTTCCAATGTCTTGATGAAGATGTCAAGACAAGAGGTCACATAGGAGGAATTTAACAGGATGAAAACATGATTCCAATATTGCAGTCTTGAGACACAGATAAACACTTGGATTCTTTCACATACAATCTTCACAGAGAGCCAACATATCGGATCCCTGCCCACAAAGAAAGGAGGCCTCCCTAATCCATCTACAAATACCAGTTTCATCCTAACAAACTAAACGTGAAACAGTCGCAAGTTTCCGTCAGTATTTCGGGTTGTGTGGTTTTACTTAAGCCGAGGCTCCATCCATGAGTCACGTGATGGGAGGTGTTTCAAGGTACATACGTAAGTGAAACTGTAGATGTGCATGTCAAGGTGAAGGATACCAATAGAAGGGAATAACTTTTTCATTATTATTTTAAAAACCAGGTGGCTCAATTTTTTTAAAGTCGTTACTTACTCGAGAGAGAAGATTATGCATGAGGGCACTGATATCCTTTCTGAGTTCTGGGTAGATCTTGACGACACGCTGGGTGATATCCTTCAGGTGTTTCATCATACGCTCATCCCTGAAGTCGTAGGGGAATAATTCGGTCCACTCGCTGCAATGATGAAGATGACAAAGACGATGAAGACAATGAAGCATGAGTTGAGATATGATCCATCATCCAACACAATAACTTAATCATAATCAATGCAATCAAGAAACATTTTGATTTAATGTCTTTAAAACACTCACCTCAGCAGGCTGACAATGTGTGTTCCGAATTTACCCAGGGAATTCTGTAAAAACAAAAATGAAACAGATTTAGAAAACAGTAAATAAGAAAACTGTAAATTGTTCCCCTCATACAAAGTGATTATTTTTATTTTAAAAACTTGATTTCATGACCTTACAAAAAAAATCACAACTTACCTTATCAATTCTGTCATTGGCCAGGTTCTGTTGAAATATGCACACCTTAAAAACAATATAAGAAAAAGGTATTAAATGATTACATTTATGCACTGCTTAAACTATTTTCAGTAACTTCAAAAAGAAATTGGGAAAGGGCTTTACTATGGGGACATGCTCTCAATGTGTGCGGCCCTGTCGCAAAAGACGTGTTGACAGCGTAAATAGACACCTGAACGCTACTCAATTTCAACAAGTCTATTTCAAGCTGCACCACTAATCGTGTAATTAACATTTTCGTCTTCAACTTGGAGACTGTAGGTAGTCACATGTCTCTGTACACGTGATCACCATTACATTTAATGATGGGCAGGGCATACTACTTACACAAATATAGGTTTACTTACATTTAGAACCTTTTCAACTGACAACCCCAAATTTTGAAATAAACAAATGATAACTTTGATTGACACCTGCCAATCAGTGTTATGTACAGCTGCTCAGCACACATGTGTATATTTGCCACTAACGTTGGTTGTACTCCTTGTTAATTACAGGTCTATTTCGGTCTCACCTGGCAAACTTCTCCCAATAAGCTGTGGGGTCGGATAAACAGCCTTGAACTCAAGAGAAATGCAAATATGTACGTCCTCTGAAAGAGAGAAATGATTGTGTTACAACCACATACTTCAGCATGTCAGTATTTGTAACTTTTAAAGAAGTTACATATTCAAAACTGCCAATTCCTTGATCTAATCTTTCTTCAGCCTTGACAGAATGGAATCACATTGCTTTAAGAAAATAGCTGTCATGTAAATATTTGTTAAAGGAGAGTTCTATAAATTACAAGTTGTGTAAACTTTCAAAAGTAATCACACCAATATTTGTAGTCTGTTCAAAAGGAAAGTTAATTCTTCAATATTTGAAAATATCCATGAAATATTGGAACACACTTGCTCAACATTCACACACCGATCCAAATGGATATTCATTTTCAGCCATTGTAAACGGAAACATTAATTCAATCACATAAACAGTTAAGGGAGTTAGTGCTAGGATAGCTTGTTAAGGTGTGTTCAAACAGAACTTGGTATTGACTGAATGAAATTACTTGATATGCTTTGAAAAGAAGCACAATAAAGCACAATCCTTTTTAAAGAATATCGATAACACTTGATCATGATTCCCCACTATGGACTGAGGCGGTACTATACCAGCTGAATCCATACATTTCTGTTACCAGAACTAAACCAAATATTCCTAGATAAGTCTCAGTAACATATTCCACCTTAAAATCTTTAATTACATGTAGGGAAAAACTAAAAGGTGAAAGGTAGAATGATTTTTGTCACGACCTGTAGTAGACGTTGTTCAATGGATATTGTTAATGTAATGTGTAACTGACAACTTGATGCAGTATAAGATTATTGTGATTAATCTGAATCAAGAATAAAAACAGAGGACATTTTATTATGGTCAATATAGCAAAAAAATACAATATAGTAATACAGGAATAAAATATGATGTGTTTATGTAATAGCTCTATAAGAATTGTGAAATCTGATCTTGAAAACTGTACATGACGTATTTCCCAAAGATAACAAAAACCACATTTAAACTATTTACATCCTGGTATGGTCGAAAGTTCCCCTTCCCACCTCAGCATCATGCCACCTTGATCTCTAAGTTTCAGACAATGGAACCTTTCTGTTCCCTAGATGTAAGTCAAGTAATATTAAGCAATGAGCATAACTCAACCCTCAGTTCCTTATATTGTAATATCCTGCTGTAAGAATATTCTCATGAATACAAGACTGTGTTAAACGTTTCTAGGCAACATGTCTAATAACAATTCTCCCACACATTCTTATATAAAACATGCCCACATAAACTTTAAGAGAGATGGGTGTGTACATCTAAAATTAACCAAAACACATATTGGATAAATCCGGCATTTTTTAGCTATGTATGGGTTTCGATTACAGGTTTTCAAGAATATGAAAGATCTGTTGGGGGAGTTGTGTAATGAGAGTTAAGTACCGTACTACTTTTCTTTATATGAAAACACTTACAAGCACGACAGCCTTACAGTTTCCGTTCATGTATCTGGTTCATTCACAAAGCAGTGTTATGTGGTGTAGTTAATGAATCAAGCAATTTGGGGGATGTTTTCAATGAAGGGAATACTTTGGCGGTAAAACTACCCCCTGGCGAAGTTCCAGACGTTCAATCCCATGTGCCACTTGAACTCATCATCACATCCTCTCTACTATATTCAGTTTCCTACTAAAGGTGGCATAAAATCAGGGCAGGTTCCTATCGCCAACATACACCAACATCTCCATGGAATAACAACTTATAGTCTATTTCAGTAAAGGAAATCAACAAGCGTTAATTTCATTCACCCTTGTCACAACATGTTTTTTTTAGTCTGGTAACACAGACAAACCCAAGATGCAATGACCTTCACATAATGAAGCAGTATCTTGCTTATTTCACAAGTGATGTCGTCAATAGCGAAATTGACGCTAGGTTGAGCGATGATTCTGTAGTACAGGGCATGATACACACAAGTGTCTATATCCAATGAAAAGTGGCTATGGTAAATATACTCACATCAGGGTAATAATCTCCTGTAGGTACCAGATGCTGGATAAGTGCCTCCAGCGATCCTGATAACAGGTTGCCATCTTGAAATATCAATGCCTGAAAAAGTACCATAGTAAATCTATATCTTAAAGAGACTTTAGTGTGTTAGAAATATGATAAGAGAGATTCGTGACATATTTTGGGCTGATTCATGTTGCTGTGTAATTCTAGTACTACGCACTGGTTCATTCTGTACACTTCTTTGTAACACACCCATTTTTTACAGGTGAAATTTAAACTTTTCTCAATGTCTTGTATATAATACACTTCGGTTATCCAGTACCTTTTTCAATATCTTTCATTATGAACAGAATTTTACAACTGACAGTTACATTCTCATAAAAATTGTAATGTGTAATAAGTTTTTAAAAACCCTGAATAATCCTTTCATGCTTTCAACCTGATTAACCCATATCATAACATAACACACCCAAATAACATAAACGTAATATCATGTGAATATCTAAGAACGATTAACTTGTTCTTAAAAACAGTTGTGTCAATTTCAACAAGAAAAAACAGCATTTCTCATGGCCCTCCCTTGACCTTAGTAAAGCTTGAGAGGCAAGTGCAGTGTTGTGATGCACTGCCTCAACCACACTCTGAAGGACTGTTTTGTTCCCCTGTTGACCTATCTTCCGAAAAACAAATACTTACTGCCGCCATCAAAGTTTCAAACCTAAATATACTTTACAAACCATCTTGGTGTCATTTGCTGGAGATGTAAGCTTAACATATTGCATCTTGTATCATACATTGGAGGATGTACCAATTTGTTCCGAATGTGAATTTCTATGTTTTGGAACTAAGCCAATGTCATTTCCGCTTGCACGGTACAAAAGGTTTCTTACATCAACAGAAGTCTGTCTGAAGCTTGAAAGTGTTTATGTGTAATGTTGCTACGAGGTAGACTATGGGTTTTGCATGACAAAGCAGGTATACTTACATCAGTTTCGTCTATGTATCGTATGTGGCTGTCAAAGCCGTTTTTCTCCATGTCAAACATTTGTGAAAGGCTCAGAGTCTGTGGACCAACACTCTGCTGTAAAATAAAACAAACACATATCATAATGTATTATATTGTATAATATGTACACTTCAGTCAAAAATCTTATAAACAGCAGCAAAAACCTGGCATCAAGGTATATACTGTCACTGACTGGTCTTAACTCCATTTATATAGCGTGAACAGAACACTGTTTCCTCACACAAATACCAATTTGTGGTTCCTTTGAGTACATTACAACCTAATTCACTGTGAATGGATATCATTTTCTATACAAAACAACCCTTACTACAAAGTCTTACTATGGAATGAAATGCAAACAAGTCTGAGACCAATATAAGGAATGGCTCCAAGAGCTGGAGAATGTATGAGTAATGTCAACATGTCACACCCTTGGTGCTGTTATTTTGGTCTGAACACTGAAATGGATTGCAAAATAACCTTCAACCAGACCCTCCCAAGCTATTACTGAATGCCTCCCCCACAGCGACCGACCACGCTTGTCTTGTTGGAAATAGCTGACAAAATTACATAAGTAATTGACATTATGCAAGAGATGTTAGAAGCTCTGATCACTGAATATCTAATCACAGACATCTGTTGTTTATCTGAATGAAAGAAGGAACACAGGAGATATAAACAACATTTTAGCTTGAGCTGTAATGGGATGTAAATGTGACTTTATTCCTTTGCACTTCATGTATCACACAGAACATTATGAAAGGAATAAATATGATATAAACATGATTATACATGATATAAACATGGTTGGATTGGATTTCATACTGGGGACTTTTAAAATTTTACATTTCAATGTTCTCAGATCTTCAAAACAGCTGATCCGCCCTTCCAAATATCAAAACACCATTCCTCATGGTAATATGAGTTGAACTGTGTCCTCAATAAAGGTGTAGCCCTTCCTTTCTGAGATTGCCCCACCCCTGATGGCTCACCCCTCCCCTCACAGTCACCATCTGGCCACATGGTAAACAAGCATGTGTCAGGCATGTAATTCACACATGTGCATTTCATTAGCAATCAATCACCTAGGGACCATCTCATAATGAATAAAATATTTACTTTAACTATATCCACATTTGTTTATACAATCAGACCTTTTGAAGATGGATAAATTTACACTGGTAGTGAATTGAGACATACACGGGGAAATGTCTTACTACATAGAATATTGATACAACTATTTAGACTTATTAAATTAGAGGCCCCGGATTAACAACAAAGTGAGCATCAAAGGGACACAAATGAGGAAACAAACCACCCGCACATGTTAAGTAATACATCACAGAACATTACAAAAACTGAACTTACGTTGGGCTTATTCAAAATGGTTGGCATAGTTGACGTTTTTCAAAGGAACAACAGTAAGATAGGCTTTCCACTCAGTAGAGATTAACTGCCCTTTGGCATGAAATCGGCATATGCACTGACTATGTAGATACAAATATTTCCTTCAATGATGTCAGTTTCACTTCGAACTAATGTTAGTTTCAGTTGAGCACATGACAAATTACACGTCAATCCTTTCAGTTTCACTAAATTAGTTTCAACAGTGGTGTCAATTTCACCCGTAAATAAATTAACATACAAAATGGCAAATTACACATTCTTTCTTTACAATTCACCATGGTGATAGCAGTAATAATAGTAAACTTAAACAATGCTGATCGGTTATTTATTTCAGTAGGTGAAATTCCATCAATTTGAAATATACCTCGTAACTCACATGGCTTACATGCAGTTGAGCACAGCAGGGTATATTCCCAGCAACACATGGCCTATCAGTCAGTCAGCAATTTACACATGTACATTTCAGCCAATGAGAGGGGATATCGGTTCTACTACATTTCAGGTTCATAACATTGGTATCCCAGCAACTGGTAGTAAATGACTCCCAGGTGATTGTTTTATTGTTTTCAATTGATTTAAGATATAGTATCCCTGCATTGATCAAACAAGAAACCCCTGCACAACTGAATTTCCACATATTGATCTCGGTAGCAAAAAGCTTCAAATTTATATTGTCAAGCATGTTCACTGAGGTCTAACATTGTTCTGTTGAATAAATGTGGATAATGTTGTTGCTTTGATTGAAAATAACAGTTGTCCTTATCAGTTTTTTTTACAAATTCATACTGAATTATGAATCATTACAGATGCTATATCAAATATATTTGATACATAGAAAGCAGAACCAGTCTCACCTTAGTCATGTTGAAAAATTTAGGAATCCACATTTTGAAATATTCTTCCATGCACAGTAAGCTCTGACCGTTGATTATTCAAATCGTGTGGCGGGTTTTGTTTCTGGTGGGACTTATGAAGCGAGAACTCTTATCTGATAAAGATAGGAAAACCCACTCATAGGGGCATTCATTGGGAGTTTCCATTCAGATGGTCAAATGATCGCGACGCTAGCTCTTGAATCGGAAGTCGCTGAGAGCTCCGGATCTATGAATCATAACCTCAACACTAAATTTGGGAAATGAATTAAGTTTTGACGGTTCTGCTTGCGCAATGTTGAACAGAATTAACAAATCTAAAATAAGAAATTACTGGTAAATGCTGTTTAGGGCTTTTGAAATGCACATCAATAATTTTGCATGGATGCGAGCTAAAGATGATTTTGATATATGTGGTATAATACTAAATCTCAGAATCCCTCAATAATTTCAAATGTCATTCATATCTGCCTAGTGAATAGCTAATATATACTATAAAATTGTGTGAAATTAATGTTTTAATTTTATAAAATACATGTATTCTACAGTTGTGAAGCAGTAGTAAGTGAATCATACAAATCATACAAATATAACCGGAATACAAAAAGAATCTGTAATTTCATACAGATTCTAAAATGAGTTACACAACATCAGGCTGCACTTGTCTATCAAACCTACCTCCTGAATTTCCACAATCATCCACATCAAGGTAGAAAATAACCACAGTTACACTGAATGAGATTCACCACATATCGTGGCGCATGAGGTTTTGACATCAAGCATCATCATAATAGTTCCACACCTCCCAACGTTTCAGGGACAAGTAATAGAGCACCCAGGGTTTGTTCTACGCAGCCAAAATACAACCCAGCATGCCACAGTGTTGACCCATCCCCCTGAACCCTCCGACAACTTCAACTATTTGTCCACTAAACACCATCCATGTGGGAATCAGATACGTCCAACGCTGGCTGCTTGCTACCTGGAGGCTACCTGGGGCAGGTGGGTAAACAAAGACTGACGAGCAACGCTCAGGTAGTCAGTCCCTCACGATCAAGACATGTGACACACAGATTTACAAGACCACCCAGTTTACTCCTTTTCCCAAAAAATCAGTTTAAAAAATTTAAATTTCAGTTTTTGAAATTGAAAAGCGATCACCCAAAAACAGATGACTCAGATCCCGATTGTCACGACAGTTAGACAGACAATGCAGCATTACCATACCTTAAACCAGGATCTGCCTGTGATGTAGAAAACATCCTTATCTTGCTCCGAGTTACAGTGCCTCCAAGTCGAAGAAGCGATTCTTACGTGTATCGTTTTGACTGTCTGTTATCACCATATTTACATAGTTGACTAATATGCCCTCCATGGCAGAAGACCTGAATCACACAGCCTGCTCCCAAATCAATAGTTGTATGGATTGCAGTTAGAATGATATCTTGGGCCAAAATGACTCAACGCGACAGCTGGGAGGGAGAGCTCGGGAGGGAGAGCTCGGGAGGGAGATCCTGCTTCCTCAAATCAGAGATCCTTGTTAATGTAATGCAGAATTGTCCAACATCTTGACTTGGAGAAACAAACATGGCCAATTCTTCTCACCACCGCATTATATCAGGGACATCATCATGTGAGCTCTATGCATAACCGAGGCAGTCCACCACCAGCGTATGACAATGAATCGTAATTACTTCCAATATCGTCTTACCAAAACTGCCTTAGTTAATGGGGGTCAGCAATGATAATATAATTTCCACTCAGTCATTAGATTAAACTGGTATGCCTGCACAATATTGGGGTTTTATGAAATAACAGGGTTGTTTATTTTCTCAATGATACACAATGAGGACTCATTGTAAATATTTTGAAATGATTCTGATCATACAAATCTTGTAGGTTTATCCTAGTTAAATAAAATATGATCTGGGCCAAAAACATCACCAGACATGAAAGGCGGTAAATATGGTAATACCAGTTAGAAACTACCCCGAACTTGAATATCAGTAACAGACATGGAAGGTACTAAATAGGATAATACCAGTTTGAAAATTTACCCTGAACTTAAAGTCAAATAGCAACAGCCAAGTTGCTAAATGTGATAACACCCAAATTGAAAACTTACCCTGAACTTGAATACCATCAGTTTCGATTTCAAGTTGCCTTTCCCAACATGACACTAAGGAATGGTTCCTCGTCTGAGACACCACAATAAACAAGCATCGTCAAGACAACAACTCTTTCCAGAAATTCCAAGAAAATCCAAGTGATGGTATAAACCAGGGAGAGGAAGGCCTGTTGCTAACAAACAGTACACAAATCTATATATACAACCCCCCAAGTCACTGACCTCGAGCCAGTCAGCATTCCTGCTTCCATTCCCTGACAGTGCTTATCTAACTAGGCAGCGTACATTAACCATCTTAGAGTCAAAACACGTGATCACTGGATGAAAGTCATATGAAACTTGTGCTGTAATAATTTAAGCTTGACATTTTTCATTTGCACATTAAATCTGTCCAAGCTTGACATTTTGAAGAATTCCTTTTGTAAGGAAACTTATGAAGATAGCCTTGAACTAGACTGGGTGCACGTGATACAGATTCACATGACCACTGAAATAAACATCTTGCTGAAAGGTCAAATCTGATATTGACCAGATAAGTACAACACTGTCCCTATGGTCATCGCTTCCCTGTATCGTCTTAGAATAGAAAAAGATATCTAATTGTGCAAACAGGAAAAGCTTGAATGAAATCAGCAACACCTCAAGTGGAATGAGGAGAGGAATTGAAA